GATTTGGGACCTGAAGTTAAAAGCCCGGGGTCCGAAAACCAGGCTTGGGACCCTAAAATGAGGGACCGGTGCAGTTCAGGTTTGGGTGGGGGCTGAACCTAAGGATGGGTGCTTCAAAAGTAAGGTTTGGGACCTAAGATAGGAGCCGGGGGGCCGCAAACTGGGAGCTGGGAGGAGCTGGCCGCCACAAACCCTAAAAGGAGAAAATGGAATTAACACTTTAGGGACTAGGGGCGCGCCCGTATAGGAACAGAATTGCCGGAAATTGGAGCTGAGAGCTGGGAGCTGGGATGGGAGTTAGCGTTGGGGTCTAGGGCTGGGGCTTGGGCTGTGCTAGGGGGCTCGACAGTTGGGAGCCTACCGGAAACACTAAAACGAGAGAATAAAACTAAGACTTTTGTGCATTGTCGCTTTGGAATGTTTTAAAGCTTCGTTCGTACGAAAAACGCTGTAACATGTACACACAAAACAGGTAATTATACCTTTACAAAGTATGATGCAAAACAAAGCAATATCATACTTTCAACGCATGAGGAGGACCATGGCCAGCGCCTCATGGCGGGAAGCTTCAAGCCAGCCGCTCCAGGGCGGCGGGTGGGGGGGGAAAGCAAAAACAAAAAAACATGGTTTTCTTTTAAACATTTTTGTTCTTTTTTGGCCTTCCCCCCCCCCGAGGCCTCCAGGCCCCCCCGGGGGAGGCCTGGAGGCTGCTAGTTAGTTTGGGGAGCCTCAGCCACTTTAAGTTTAGATTCGCTCCCGCATGCAAGCGCGGTGCATGCAGTTGACAATTGAATTCCGGTGCAATTTATTCATCTAGATCCAGATTGATTGACATGTGAAATACGACATCGGGTTTCTAGATTAATCAGAAACTTTAAACCTGAAATTTGACACTTTGGTCCACCATTGACACCATTGTCTGTGTGACATCAGTTCCGGTATTAACACTTATGTTTCCATCACCGCAGCGCATTCAACATTAACCGCTTTCCGGCTGCATCTGTAACACATATCACATTAACAACGTCGCAATCCAACACACTGTCATCATGCATGTCAAAATCGAATGGTCTTAATTGACGGAAATAAGCGAAACAGATCTATCCAATGATGTTCATAGTCAACTTTCGAATGTCATACTACAAAATGGGCTTTCCGAAGCACTGCTGTGCCACATGCAAAACAACAGTCCCAAATATGTTGCATGTGCAGGGTTTCTATTTTACATGCATTTGCGTAAAAGATGTATCATGCCCGTTCCAACACTGATGGCCCAGAACCGTAACTCAGAAACGGCGATAAACAAGCTTCCACAAGGCATCTATACTAGATATATGGGGCGAAAAGCACAAAAAAGAACGAGTTCGGTGATGCATGGTGAAGGTTTGCGTGCATATGTTTCGCACTACATATAGAGAGGCAATGGGAAACATGGAAACAGTGTTGGGGTATACAAATTTCTAACTTACAACGCTCTCAAACTTTAGGGCTGAGGGCTGCCCCCATAAGAACAGAAATTGCTTGAACCTGCTGGAAAGCAGATTTGACCAGGGCGCCAACATTGCGCTGGCGAATCCTAGCCCCTAAAGTGGTAAACCCTAAAGTCTTAAACCCCTCAACCCTAAACCCTTAGACCCCCAAGCCCTGCTATGTGCCGCAGACTAAGGCCTTGGATGTAAGACCCAAGAAGGTGGGTGCGGCTCTCGGACATGTGTTCACGGCTTCGCGGTCAGGGTTGAGGGGCTAAGGGTGGAGGCCTGGGCGCTGGGGTGTTGTTTAGCAGAATGGGATAGGGCCGCTAAAGGTAAAGGCAGGGAGGGGATTTGGTGTGTTGGAGCTTCATTTTTTGCAGGCTAGGGCCGTTTTGACCACTCAGGACCCTAACCACTTGGGATGACGGGTTTTAAGGGCCTGGGGTTGGGGATGCGCTGCTAGGTTTGGGTCTTTGGCTTACTAGGTTTAAGTGCAACAGCGACTATAACAGAATTCCCCTTTTCTTCATGCTTTTGCCCGTCAAAAGCTCGGCCTCGAGACCCCAACCTTCGTATCCAGCGCTGTCAAAATGCATCGTTTCTGAAAGCGACTAAATGTTGAATTATAAAGCTCCGTACCAAGAAGCTACAGCCTTATATCAGAGTCCCAAATGTATAGTTAGTATAGCTACTTCCGTTTGGGGTACCAGCCCAATCTTGAATGGTGGATTAGCAGTCGGGTGGGTAAATGAAAACTGTGTACGCAAACCTCACAATCCTAGTAAGCCCCAGCACCCGAGCCTAAACCTACCGAGCCTAAACCTAACACTTGAACCTAAGCCCTACAGCCGTAAACCCCCGGTCACCTTGTGAAACCGACGAAACCTTGCAGAACCCTGTCAAAAATCATGAAACAACTTCCCCAGAAGCAAGGACTTGGACCCCTAAGCCTCAAATCCAAAACCGTCCAATCCTAAATTCCACGCACCCTAAACCCTAAGCAGCTTCAGCCCCCTCAAAGACAAGAAGGAGTCCATTCAGCACCCGAACTAAATCCTAAAATCCGACCTTCAACATGCATTCCTAGGTACCCTTTCATGCCCTACTAGACTCTGCAAAGGTAAAAAGGAGTCGATTGAGCTGGTGCAGTGCCCCGGCAAGGCGGGCACGTGCACGTGGTGGAGCTGAGAGAGAGCACCCTGGAAGCCAAGCCTTTTGAAGCCTAAGTGTATGGTTCAAGCTCAGGGTTTGAAGGCTGTAGGTTTAGGGTCTAGGGCAGAGAGAGGTTTTGAGGTAGTTTCGGGTATAGACTCTCAGGCATTGTACGGTCAGGATTGGGCTTTCTGGGTTCAACTCTTTTCGGATTATTGGGCTGTAGGAATTAGGGTTTCAAGCGGGTTAGCTTGCAGGGTGTATGATGAAGCCTTGTCCCGCCCAAACCCCAAGATCCGACCGAACCTTACCGACATGCGGGTTTCGCAAGATCAGGGGGTCCTGTTTTGGAGGTCTTTGCAGTGTTTGGGGTCCCTTGCTTTGCTTTCGGAAGCTCTCAATTTCAGCCGATTCCCTGACCCAAAGTCATGCTGCCCAGTCGCCAGTTCCAAGCTTCAACCTTGGGGCCTTCAGCAGACTTTTGAGGATAGAGGGTTCAGGGTTCAAGGTTTACAGGCTTCTGGGGTTTCGGGCCAACACACCAGAACCTTCAATCCTGAACGTTGAATCCTGAAGATGGATTCTTGTATACTGTATATGGTATACTCGTATCGATCGGATTTTGTGAAGGGCTTTTAGGGGGCTTTGTGAGGGTCTTGTGGGATTTCTAGGCATGTTGGTTAGGATAGCAACATAAGGCAAGCCTAGGCATAGTGTTTGTTCCTTCACAAGAAGCCCGAACACATCCTGAACCCTAAACAGCCCCGAGCCCTGGCGGTCTAAATTCTAGCCTGGAGTCCTAAACCCGAATTCGCCCCACTCCTGTGTACACTCCCTCTGACCCCTAACAGTAGCATGCTGCCAATGATGTTTTCTGGGGCTAGCGAGCCTGTTCGAAGACGGGATGTCTCTTTCTTTCACGTTCGTTGGCAACTTGAGGAGGACGCAGAGACCATCCATCCTTGACACTCCCGACAAGCCTACTTCAGGGCTGGGGTCAATTTGCCGAAAAGCCTCTATCCATACTCTCGCAAGACCTCTACTATTCTCTGCGAACGGCGTAGCCATGCAGCGTCCCTGTGGCCGTCGCAAGTACATTCATGGAGTAAGGCCACACGGACCTGCAGCATCCCCTAAGCCCTAAGCTTAAACTTTCACGGCCGGACTTCCAAAGGCTTGATGAACCCCTTAAAGACCTGCGCCCTAAGTTTTAAACTCCCTCTGAACCCCGAAACCCCCCTACACTCCAAAAAGCCTTAACGCCTTCTCCCTGGTCTGCATCCGAGAGAGTATAGTTGAAATTCGAAGTCGATCGCTTGACTTTTATCCCTATACACCTCATACGCTCATAAAGCCAGATGAGAAACCCGACAGAGCCTTTTTCAACCTCCCCCTTGAGAAGCATTTTCACTTTCCGATCTCCGCGACTCGTCGTGGCTCGCAGCGAGAAGAAGGGACTCCGATCTCCGAGGCATAGCTGAGGTCGAGAAGAGGCCGGGTTCCCGCAGGGGGGGGGGGGGTTGGGTAAGATTGAGGGCTTATGATTCACGGTTTTAGGGTTCGGGCTTTATGTAGGAATGGAATATTCAAGTAACTTTCCCAGCAAAACGCTTCTGTGCTGTAGCCCAAAAACCTTATACTGTAAATATTAAACATTAAAGCCCCTACATCGAGGTTGGGTGTTTAGGTTTCAGGTCTTGAGGGTTCGGTGTTTATGGTTTGCATTTAGGGGACGGGGCTTAGCAGGGTTGGTTAATGTAAAAGTGTGAGTTTCCAAGACCATTCCTTAGGCTTACTTCTGTTGTTTATACCACAGTAGACCTTCCTAGAACCCTACTCAATGATTAAGGCGCCTATGTTAGGTTGGGCTTCGTCGGCTGTGGGGCTGGTCTTGGTCTTGGACACAAGGTTAAGAATAATGCTGCATTTCATGTGGGGCAGGGCGTCGGGTTTAGGTGTTTATCGTCACTTAAGGTGCTCGTAACCTGAAACACAACTTACGCTTTCCGACGGTTGGGGGTTTCGCGACACTAAAGCCTGAACCCTTACTCTTGCGTGTGCTACCTCTGACTTTCGTCTTGGACTCTTGATGAATCTTGGCTGCTTCGCCGCCTGGCATTCGGGTTTCCTTTAAGATTGCCCACGTGGGTTGCCGTATGTGTTCCCTTGAGGATTTCTAGGGTTCCTTGAAAGATACAACAATTAGAACTGACTGGACCGTGCACCCGGACGCGGACTCTAGCCTGTTCGACACCTTGGTAATTCTCACTGTTACCTTAAATTTTGGTGCACGCACATTAGAATATGTGCGAGTGGGTGGATGCCAGAAACAAAACTCGTTACTTCATGCGTGCACCCTTTTTGGAGGTCGCGACGATGCCGCTGCTCCGACCGTTCGTCCTTCAGGCAGTGATCGTCGTGGTTCGGCTTCGTTTTTTTATGGGAGGTCCGACCCCCCAAAAACTCACCCTAAAGCTTAAATCCGAAATGCTGCGGGCCCATCCCCTAACCGTCCTTAACCCCGGAAATCTGAAATCTTAGATCCTTGTCCCAACAGCAGTTTCAAATGTGTGGGGGTGTATATCAAGCCGTGCGTAGGCTTTCTATACCCACGCCCCATGTAACTAGCTAACCAAATTGCGCCGTCCTGCAGTACTGAACCATTGTCGGGGTCGTGAATGGATGCTGAAATCCCTAAAGCTTTGAAGCTGGACTTTCCAATAAAATCGCGAGCACGGGGCAAGGCAAGTCGCTTGCATATGGTACGGCTTACGGTGTTGGGGCGGAGGTTTAGAGATCGCGGATAGAGCCTAGGGTTGGCGGGGTAAAGCATTCAATTTTTCGGACTTAGGCTTCTGGGGCTTGGCTTTATGCTTCAAGTGTTTGGGGTCTTAGTAGGTCTGTTCTATGTGGGTTTGTTGAGAAGCTTAGTTAGGAGTAGTGTCAGGTTTAGAGTTCAGAAGTTCTGGGTTTTCTTAGCTGGGGTTAGCTTCATAGTCACCCTGCTTTCTCTCTTGCAGTTCCGATGCTAACTCTAGACAGTGTGCCTTCAAAGCCTACTCAAATTAGTAAGATCCTTCAAGCCTTACACCCTGACCTCCTGGGACCTGATTCAGGCCGCCCGCCGTGCTGCCGGCCCTCTCCTCAGCAATCGATCCGGAGGGGAGTTTTGGGTTCCTCTATGTCTATTGGTTTCCCTTTCGGATCCTCTTATATCCGTTTCGTTTAATAGAGATGATCCTACCAGTGACCTGTTTATACCGATACTACCGTTTATCCTTATCCCGTTGGCTGTTGAGTTCTTTTGTGGTCGGCTTAGAGAGTTTCTTTTCGGTTCTGGATAGGGATGCTACGCGGGTCTCGGGCTGGGCCCAGGAGCTGCACGCCAATTAAGCCCCAAACCGCAACCCTAATTCCTTAGCCCGAAACTTTCAAACTCGAATCCCTGAGCCCGAAACCCCGAGTCGGACTTACAGCCCTGAGCCATAATCATAAACCCTACTTCACAACCCTAAGCCGTACACCTGAAGCAGCCATGAATCCGAGTTCCTGGACAGCCCAAACCTAATTGCCAAAGCCCATACCTCGATGAGGGAGCCGACAATGTGTCCCTAAACCTTATAGAATGCAAATGAACCTTGTTGACACCTGACATCATCCAGAGCGTCCCAAGAGCCGTTAGGCCGCGGCCTGGCAACGTCTGCAGTGAGATCGCACCGACCCATGGCCGTGATGCCCCAGGCAAAACTCGGCCTTTTGCTGCTTCCGTGAGTTTAGCGCTTTGCAAGGGTTTTTTCAGGGGTTCAACAGGTGTGAAGCTTTTTGGTTTTTAAATGCAAGGGCCAGCCCAGAACCTAGAAGTTCCCAAGCCCCGGTAGAAGGAAACCTTAAAGGAGCTTTGCCGGGAGAATAACTGCAACCCTGTGTATTGACTTACGGCCCTTACCCTTAAACCTTGAGCCCTGAACGAAATTCTAAACCCTAGCTTAATTCTAATTCCTAAACTCTTAAAGGAAACCTAAACTCTGAACCCCGGACTAAATCCTAAACCTTGAACCCTTAAGTGAATCCTAAACCCTGCTACATCAACTAAACCCCACTCCTCAAGACCTGAACTGAATTCGAAACCCTAAACTACATCCTAGACCTCAAGCCCTCAACTAGACCCTAAACCCTAGACGGCCTTAAAGAGCTCAAGAAGCCCTGAGCCTCGAAGCTCCGAAAGGTTTCCGAGGAGGACTCCATGCTGCCAAGGTGCGGAAGGATTGGGATTTAGGGTTTAGGGTTTAGGGTTTAGGGTTTAGGGTTTAGTGTATGGTTCAGGGTTCAGGATTCAGTTTAGGGTCTAGGATTTGTGGATTCAGTTTAGGGCTTCGGGTTCAAGGTCTAGGGTTCAGTTTAGAGCTTAGGATTCAAGGTTTGGGATTCAGCTTAGGGCTTTTGTGTTACGATTTAGTTTAGGGTTTAGGATTTAGTTTACGGTTTGGGGAGTTGTGTCAGCCGTGTTTCAGGGTTTGTTTTTTGTTATTGGCCCTTAGGGTGTTTAAGGCTTTGCAAGTTTTTTCGGGCTTGGGTTTTGGGAGCCAGGGTTTCGGAAATAGATAGGGCTGTTTAGATAAGCATGGCATTTAAAGCTTGGAGTTTATCTAGTTCTTTCTTGAAGATGCTCGGCATCGTGCTTGCAGGGTTGTCGTTTAGGGCTGTTTTTCTTTGGCTTGCGCGGGTTTAGTGTTTTATCGCGCTGGGGCACTTTTTTTTTCAGGCTGTAGGGTTTTACGGTGCTGCCAGGGGCGTTATCTGGCTTTCTAGTGGCCGTGTAACGGATCGAAGGGTTGTTAGGTTCAGGGTTGTCGGGTTTCGGTTTTCTGGTCTGGCGTTTAGGGCGTCAGGAAGGGTTTGGGGTGTGGGGTTTAAGGAGGGGTTTGGGCTGTGTTTAGGGTTTAAGACTTTTGGCAGAGACTTCAATTGGCAGATTGCGTTACGCATGAAGCCAAGGCTGCTCAATTTACATGATGCGCTTTTCCAACCGTGTTGCGGTCTTGAAGCAAAGCGAAGCTGCGGTGCATGCGGTATCACCACCGAGCGCCAGTAGTCCATCGTGGCACCCCGCACCCTAAAAACTGAACCCTAAAGCCTCACAAACGTAAACCCCAGTGTTGCTACGAAAGCTACCTGCTCATGATCGCAGGGCTCCGATGGCTGCATCGGGAAGCGCGCTGATGGCAGGCCGGTCAGGTTGTGGGTTTTGGCTGTGGAGGGTTGCAGTCTTCTGGCACGTTCGGTGGGGTTGAATGCAGGGTTTCGGAAGCTTGAACTCGAAACCTTCCACCCGAAAGCCCTACAACCCTAGACCTTGAATCCAAAGTCTCGAATTGTATGGAAAGCTGGATAGGTTGCGGTTTTTGTGCAAGGTTCTGGGAGTTGGGTCTATACCAGACCTACAAGCACCTATTCAGCATTGGTCTGGGCTCGGATCTATGACACACGGAGCGGATTTGGTGACATTCGCCAGCTTAGATCACCCCAAAGCCCACAGCAAAGCATCGACGAAGTTTGGGTGCCTTTGACATCGCAGGCTCACCACTCTTCCTTACCGACCTTGATGCCTGGTCCCCGGTTGTTCTGGTTTCGTTTTTCAAAGGGATAATATAGGGGCCTTAATGATTACCAACACTATTTTGGGGGTTCCTCATTGTGATTATAGTACAATGGGCCGTGGAGGCTGGCTTGTAGACTGGTTTTCCATTTCTGTCGAGGTTTCGGTTGCTTAAACCCCGCCCCAAAGAGCTTCTCCAGATAGTTAGTATAGTATCGTCAAGTGAAGCTTTAAGGCTTGGTTTGCGGTTCAGTGCATCTTTCCATGGTTAGGCTAAGCTTTCTGATTTAATGCCCCACAGGTAAAGCACCCGTATAGAATCAGCGTCTTTCCGCTTTGTTGTGAAACCGTTCAAAGGAACCGGGTGTTGTACTTTCGGCTGAACCCTAAAGCCGCCAGAGACAAATTCTTGTTAAACCCCTGAACATCAAACACTCCCTACACCCCGAAGAAGCCTCGGAGCTAAGCTGTAAAACCCCCAGAGCTTCCAGACTGAAGCCCTAAACACGCCCCACTGAACCCTCAACCCCGCCCCAGCCCCACCTCAAGTTGAGGCTGTCAGAGAACCGGGGCTCAACCTCCCATGCCTGAACCCTGAATGCCAGCCTCAGTCGTAAGAGCCATAAACTCCGAGAGCCTTTTGCGGATTTGGAGATTTGCGGTTTGGGGCTCAGGGCTTGTTAGGGGTTTGGGTTTGGGGCTTAGGGGTCAGAGTCTAGGCATGATTTGTGAATTGTCACATTGTGACCGCACCAAGGATTTGAAGACGGTTTTGACAGCAGCCAGTTACATCCTTGTTCTGTGCTCAAAGCTTTGATCTTGGGCATGCGTGTAACAACGTGGGGGTCAGAATAATTTCGTAGCAATAGTATATACCCCACGATACAACTTTTGCTACTCTTAAAGCTTTGGGAAAGGACCCACTGCTTTAGCGCTGACCTGCGAAGTGATGGTTCGCTTGCAAATGCCCAAGCTCTGGAAGAGCACACACATGAGCGCTGAGGCTCCGATGTATTGGACCGAGATCCAGTTTGTCTTGCCAGGATCTCGGTGCACAGGCTTTGGTAGACTTCGTAGCGCTGTTTTCAGAAGGGGTCTACAATTGCAGTATTGGGTTTGGAGGGCTTCGAGAAGGGCGTACGAGTTCTTGCCCGGATGGTTTGATAATTTGGGTTGTTGAAGTTTTCTGGGAGCCTGATATTTTAATAAAGTTTAGGATTGGGTGTGGTTATTGAGGGTTTGCAGGTTTGACGAAGGAGTCTTTGGAGGGTTTTGTTGTCACACCTTGTGTGCAGTTTATTGGTTTCAGCGTAGTTGCCTTTCTCTGATCGTATAGCGTCTTTCTACCCTACTGCTGTCAGTGATCACTCCGCGATCAGATGTGCACTGATACTTTTTTGTTCGTGTCCAGCGGTCGGGCAAGTGGTTAAGGATTTCTGGTATTGACAGCCCAAACCCTCATTGCCAGTCGCGACAATCGAGCAGTTTTTGCGGCTTTGGACGTCCGTGAGTCCTTAAAGTGTTTATGGACAAGAACAAAATTCCTTCAACCCTTTGCACTGTAGGCACGAAATGCCCTAAACCCAAACTGTACTCAAACGCCAAACCCGAGCTCCTAAACCCAAAGACCCCCCAAACCATTGTAAGCCGGATAACACCGTTAGAAACACCATAAAGCCATCAAGCCCCTCTAATGTCGCTGCAACGCCATTGAAGTACAGTCCACTACCTGCAGAGCCCTTTCAGGCCTTTTCCGCCCTGATAGCCGCCCATTAGAACCCCGGCGAGAACCTGTACAGCCCTTATCGAATCGTATATAGAACCCCATACGGCCGTTTAGAAGCCTTACAAAATCTTCCCTAAACCCTAAACCCTTTAGAACAGCTGCAAAACCTTCCATTCCCAGGTCTTGGCCATTATAGGAGCCCAACAGAACCCTGCGAGAACTTGCACAGCCATGCAACCTCTATAGAACCCTTGCAGAACCTTACATAGCCAGGTCTGGCCCTATCAATGGCCTCTTCGAGCGCATGTTTGAGACCGAAGCGGGCCCACTCTTCTTGAACGGGGTCCCGACCTCACTGAGGGGTTCTCCAAGGGTTCCTCTGAAGGTTCTACAAGGTTTGAGGGTTTATGGCTCTAGGGGGTTCGTAAACCCCGAACTCTGAATCCGGGCAATTCGATTCAAGCATGAACGGCCATGGATGTGAGCGAGCTGTTGAAGTGCATGGAAGCAAGCAAGCCATTATCCCGTACAGCCCTTTCACCCTGAAGCTCGAGATCGTAATCAACTTAAGCCCGAAACACTTAAACCTTCAACCCTGAAGCCTAGAGCCTGAAACCCTTGAAGCTGTGAATCCCAGCACCGCACTTCCTAGACTTTAAAATCCAATGCTTCGGGTCTGAACTTCCTGAAGGCTGGGGGTTTCAGGACAAGCTGGAGATTTTCGGAGATCTTGCTCAGGATTGCTCAAAGGTTGTTCAGGGCTTTAGGGTTTAGTGCGTTTGGGACATGGGTTGGTGGCTTACTCGGAGACTGGGGTACTTACCACTAGATTCAGAATTTAATTTAGGGGCTCGGGTTTGGCTTCGGGGTTCCGCGGTGTAGGGTGTGTGCCCGTGGCCCAAGTATATCTTGGTGGATATGTAAAGCTGGGTTATACCTGCAGCTTCAAGCAACTACCATGTAGCCGTACATCGAGTTGCACGTCGAGGCAAGTGTGCCGGTTCCAGGTGTAGGATGTCGCGGCGGCGGTTCAGGCAGACAACCCTCGACACTAAACCCTACACAAAAGAAACCTTATACCCCTAAATAGCCCAAACCCCTAGACCTTTAAGCGCCCTTCCTGGATTTCTGGAGGGTTGAAGGCTTCAGGCTTGGGGTTGGGTGATCTGGTTTGGAGGCAGGGTTGGATGTCTTCATCCGGATGTACCTGAAATTCTAGTCGCAGGGACCCTCAACAGGGAAGAAACCAAAGTTTCACGTATGAAAAGCTCCTAAGCACCATTCCGGCTTAAAGCTATTGGTGCTTCCAGGTTTGAATTTCTGAATCCAGGCAGGGCCGCTGCACCGGTAAGATCACGAAACTTGCCCCCCAAGGTGTTCCTCGTGACGCTGTGAAGCCCTCAGCTATGACGGCGGGAGGATTTCTCTGGTCTGGGCTCGTCGGGTACCCTACTTTGAGCCCTAACCTTACTACGTACTATGATCCTTCAAGGGAGCATTAGCAGTATACCTCCTGCAGTCGTGTTCTCAATTCAGGCTAGCGGCATCCGCTTCGGGTTGGATTCAGGATTTGGGTGTCTGGACCCCCTTGGATTATGACATTATGATTGCTAATATCATCATGTTTAGTATGTGTTAGTATTAACATTCGTATCATGCCTAGTATTACAAGTGTTATGACTACTATTGTTCTTGCGACTACTATGTCGTAGTGGGCCCGTACTATGTCACTGAGTATTCCTCGTACTTCCGAAGCCTCAAATACTGTTGGATTACTAAGTCCCATGAAGCCTTCGCAATTCAGGCTTTAGGGTTTCGGGCTGAGGACGGCGACAGATGGGAAAGATGGTTAGTCGTATCAAGTATGCCAAGAATCGCAGCGATGAAATTACAGCGTTGCAGTCGTTGTGCTCGTGGCACTGGTAGCGGTCGTGGGTAGTGGTTAGTGGTAGTTGGCAGAGGTAGTGGGAGGATGTAGTGGTAGTGGTAATGGGTAGTGGTATTGGCAGTTGCAGTGCTAGTGCTAGTGATCGTTTTTGTTTTTTGTGGGCGTGGCGCAGGTAATGGTAGTAGTAGTAGTAGTAGTAGTAGTAGTAGGTAGTGGTCGTGGCGGTGGTCGTCGTGTAGAGGTAGTAGTAGCAGCAGTAGCAGTGTGGTAGCCAGTAGCAATTAGCAAGCAGCAGTTGCAGAATGGGAGTAGGATTCGGAGTCGAAGTCGGAGTATCAGTAGGAAGACGAGTAGTAGCAGGAGTAGTAATAATTAGAACAAGCAATGTACTAGTTCTACAATCTTGGTAGTCAACCGTCAGAGCAGCAACAATCGCAAGAAGCATGTTTCAAGCGAAGCCTCCTGCATATCTTGATTGTGAGACTGCTAGACAAGTTACTCAGGTGTTGACGAATCGAGCTTCTTGTTTCCTCCCCGCATAGCTCAACTTCTAAGTTCCAGGCCTGCAGCCTGTTTTCTGAAAAACCATCAACCCAACAAAATCAGCACACACGGCAGGTAGAAGACTCCAAGAGTAGCTCAGGTTGCGCATGGGTGTCTACTATGGCTTCATGCAGCCAGCCTACCTGTGGCACTTCCAGGTCAGCAAGTTGGTGAGGGGTTCAGGTAATATTTGATTCAGAGCTTACTGGGCTTCCGGGTGACTGCCTTTGGAATTTTGACTCAGACAAAGAAGTACCTTGGATCCTCGGACGTCCTAGACCCCAAAAGCCCTAAACACTCGCCCCAATCCCTCTTCCACCAACCGCCCCCCCAAAAATGATTCTTTGTTTTGGGTGTGAGTGCAGGAGCGCTACGGCCAGACCTGGACCGTTGGCCACCACCTGTATGGCTCCGCACATTGTCTGCTAGCAGTTACGGTTGGTTTAGGATGGTTTAGGGTTAGCGTTTCTGTTATAAGGTTCCTTTCAGGGGTTTACTTGACTGGTTGTGTTGGGCTTTTCGGGTGTGGTGGTTTAGGGTTTGGTGCTCGGAGTTTGAAGCCTAGGGATTTTGGGGGTTAGAGTTTAGGGTGGATGGTTTGAGGGTGAAGATGATGAGGACGAGGTCGACGGCAAGGACGACAGCCGTAATGCTGCTGATGGTGATGGTGTTGCCGGTGGTTGAAGCATCATTATCCTATTTGCCTTCGAAGTTATAAAGAATCCCAGCGCTGATCAGCATCAGTCCATGTTACAAGTTTACTGCAAGGCTTTCAGGGAGATCTGGGTTTGGGGATCATTTTATTTTCGCGAGTTTAGGGTTGGGGTTCAGAAACTTTAGGCTCGGGGATTTGGGTTGGGTGAGTGATGTTTCGTGATTAGGCTTTCAAGTAGAGCTCGGGGTTGACGGAAGGAGTTCAGTGGTGTAGTATGACAGTGGCAACAATTTCGAGAACACATGGCGACGGATCTAAACCCCTAAACCCTGCACCCCAGCAAGAGGAACCCACCGACATGTGCTGGTTTGCAGGCTTTTTTGCGGGCGCTGTTCTTGTGCTTCGCGATTATGGCAGCGGTTGGTGGTGGTTGAGGATCATCTTGGTGTTGTCGATTACGCTGGTGATGACGACGATGATGGTGATGAAGTTTGTTGCGTGGGAGTTGTGCCTGTGGTGGTGATGACACTTCCCTCGTTTGTCGTGATCCACGAATCATGGATTACTCTGTTCTGTTCCTGAGGCATTCAGGTGAATAGTGGTGTTGGTTTTCGCATCTGCTCTAACCCCAGCCCCAGACCCTAGTTCACCACAGCAGCTGTAAGGACCTGCCGAACCCTCTCAAGAAGAAGTGAGGGGCAGCTTGTATTAAGGACGCGATTTTGTAAGAGGGCGTGCGCAGGACCGACCGGATTCTCTCTGGTCACGGCACCCTGTTTGCGACAGGTTCACAGTTCATGCTTAGCAATTCAGGGCCTAGTTATGGGGTGTTGGGGTCAGGATTATCAGGTCCAACCATGGCGAACCAGCACTTATCAAACTTGATGGACTTCACGGTAATGGCTGATGCGGATCGTTGAGAGCGAACCGCGGCGCGAAGACAAAGATTCACCCAGCAGCGTCCCCGAACGTAGGTTTACCTTGAACTAGCATAGAGTACGTAGTTTCATTATCACAGCTTGCACAAGCAGTTAGCTCCTGGCATTTTATGATGGGGGGTTGGGAAGATTTTCGTGGTGTTCTTGGCGATTCTCAGGCTTGCCAACTTGTGAAGGAGCATTGGGATTTAGCAGGTCACATGTTCATGCTCGGGGGTACCCCCGTTGGGTAGCCATCTCAGCAGACCAGAGCCCTTAACCGTCGACAAACTCTGAGGCCGTCTATGATCTTCTATACGCTAGATTAAACATTCTACCGCTACCCTTATAGTAACCTTGATACGGAGCCCTGCGCCCACCCACACCCTCATAGAAGCCTCCTGCCCTGACCACCGAGCCTTGATAATGAAGCCTTGGACCCGAGTCCTTATGCGTACGTGTCTGGGGACCTTCTCGTATGCTTCTGGTCGTTGGGTCATTCCCCTAAACCCTAAACCCTAAACCGTACAGCATTCTCCTGCTTACTTTCTGGCAGAGTCAGGCTGCTCATGTCGAAAATCCTTGCGTCAACTCTTCAACGGTGGCATGGCGCAAACTCCAAGCTCGAAGTACTCTGAAGCCCAGGAGACTCTGAATCCTAGCAATGAACTGAGGGATATTTGGGGTCTTAAGCACCCGAGTTGGGATTCTCCTAGTCACCATGGCCCTATTGAAGCGTATCTACTCAGTGACCTGAGCCTCTAAGCATCTTGGGACGCTGCTGCGGCAACTGGCTTTTTCACCTCTTGGATTAAGTAAGCAACCATCAGTTTGACCATAGCGGAATCGAAAAAAAGGATGCCGAGCGAGCGCTGAAGTCTAGGGTTTGAGCCTTAAATCTAAGCCCCAAGCCTTGAACCTCTGAACTATCACCCCTAAGCCATCCTAAGCCGCAGAAGCCTACAGCTCAGATGTAACCTACGAAGCGGCACCCCGCAGACTCTCCTGAAAGACCAGCCATGCCACCCATCGTCGACAAATCCCAGGCCCTTAAACCCTGAACGGGCGACCTCTTACCCTCAACCCGAAATCCGAAGCCCCCGAAGCACGAATTGGCTTCCTGATGACAAGGTGGAGGTTCTTGCACACTGGCGTAGGGCTTTGCGGTTTTGGAGTTTTCGGGTTGGGGGTTGAGTCCGGGGGGATCTCAACAGGATATCTTCTCTACATATCTTTATGGTGGTAGCTCAATCAAAAGACGGGTGGCGGGCATCTTGTGAACCTTGGGGCCTAAAGCCTAAAGCCCTTCACCTTTCACGGCAAAGGAACCTGTTGTAGAGGATTTTTCGATTGGGGCCCGAATAGTGAACTAGACCTACTCTCGCCCGATTTCTCTAAACATATTTGTACCGTTACATAACTTGTTAAACAAATAAATACATAGATAAATGATTAAGAATAAAAATAAATAAATGAATATGTATATATATATATATATATATATACATATATATATATACACATACATATACATATACCCCCCCCCCCCCCCAAAGCCCGACTCCACGAGACTCCTACATACACTAGGAGAGGGTCACTTACTTTCGGAGCCTCAGCCTCTGGCGCCCCAGCCCAACAAACTCCTCGAATCCCAAACCCTATACAGTTAGTTCTCTACAGTTAGGGTCCCTTTTGTGGTCCTTTTTATGAGAGTGCCGTACTATCTTGGTCACCTGCAAAGGGACCCTAATTTAGAGAACTGCCCATATACATTCAGTACTTTCGAGCTGCGGGAGTTGAGGGTTTAGGGCTCAGGGAAACCACCAACTCTAGCTCCGAAACCCACATTACCCTCTCTTCCACCAAAGCCACAAAGCAAAAGCACCAAGGCTCGCCCGAGCTTTTTGAGTCATTGGATTTGTTTTGAGACTTTTCTGTGTTTCCGGAGGCTCGGCGGAAGCCGGGATCCGTGCTGGTAGCGACGGGGCTGTCCAAATGCGCCCGAAAAGGCGGCGCCAGGCCAGGGGTTGGACATCTTTTGTGTGGTGTCGTTGCACTTTTTTGTTGCATGAGGATTGCCAAAACGTGACTCTTTGACATGGGTTTGAGTGGTCGTCTTAAGAGGCTTTAAAGAGGGCATCCCCGTGTAGGTTTGGAAAGCAGGGTAGCTACAGAGGTCGGGAGGCTTCGGCATGGTTCCTATTTTGCTATACTGTAAAGCTCCCCCCGAAATGTTGGTAGAACTGCTCAGGCCAGCATATTACTTGCATACTTTCCCTGCGCTGGCTTCTACTTGCAGCCCCACTTCAAAATTCCTTGGTCATCCAAGCGGACCGTAAGCCCTACATGAGCGCTGAACTCGCAAGCACGGAGAACGCCTGGACTGGGTTCTTGTTAACGGATTCTTATTTGAGGTACCATAATAAGGAAACCGTACATTTTACAACAGATCCCTTTTATCGTAGCATGAGTTAAATTCCTTGACAAGAGCCCAGAAATGCCTGAAGCTCCGCCCCACGCCGGAGGCTCGACCGAGAGGTCCTCGGATGCTCCTACCGTCCCAAGCTGCACAAGCTGGCGCGGCTGAAGTATTTGAAGGCCGCGGAATTAGGGTTTAGCTCGAGGTTCGGGCCGATTTGGGTCTAGGACTAGGACATACGGGGTTTGATGATTTATGGGGTGTAGGAAATCGGCTTTAGGAAGGGGGTTTCAGGACTTGGGGCTTAGGATTTATCGGGTGTAGGAATTGGGCTTTCGGACATGGGGTTTGGGAGTTCAGGTTTAGGATTTGGTGACAGGACATGAGGTTGAGAATTGGGGTGTTGGACTCTTGCTCTAGAGATTTAGCATGTCGGATCTGGGCTTCGGGAACCAGGGCACTGAAGTACTTGAAGTTTTTGAGGGCCGTCTACTCACAGGGTTCGGGTTGGTGTTTCGGGGTTCAGGTTTAAGTTTTCGGGTTGTCTAGGCGAGTCAAGTTTGTTTCTGAAACATGCGAAGCCTTTTGCACGGATATCCTTAATTTTTCCTGTCCATGTATCGCTGATGTGCTTGTCTGGGGCTCTGGGGTGACGGATGGGATGACTTAGCAGGCTATGCTCAGGAGCTCCGGGTAGTTGCTGAGATATCGAGTGCGCTTAGGGCTCCGGCAGAGAGTTTTGAATCAAATCATAACAAGAATCCACCTACATAATCTCTGTGTAGCTATGCTGCCTTGTACTCCGAAACCCTATGCGAACTTGCAAGGCTTTACATTGGACCCTCACTTGTATGATCATAAGTGCGAAACCAGCGCTAGACCACCGTGAACTCCTAAACGTACAGCCCGAAAGCCTCAAATCCGAAGCCCTGAACCTGCGCGACTTCGATACCCAACGCCCCGAACCGTCAACTCGAAGCCGTAAATCCTGACTCCTAAACTAAACCCGAAATTCAACATCCGAAGTCTTCGACCTTTGTGATCCACCAGGCCCTAAAAATTGAGGCTTATACCCAAAACCCCACACCCTCGCTTCGGTTTGGGCTTTAGGGTTCAGGGCACAAATCTGGCCCAACGTCGCGAAACACTTCTGTTCTTTCTGCCGTTTGTGGTCTGGTTGAGTGAGGCATGCCTTTGAACATGGAGAACATGTCGGTGAAACAAGGCGAAAGGTGAGGGACCCGTCCAACTGTCCGGCGGGGTCTATCCCCTGACAGCGCAGCCCCAAAACAAGAACTGCGAACCGCAAAAATCTACACTTCCTAAGCCCTAAGCCCTCGATGGGGAAGCGGAACCTAGAGCTCGTTCGTTCCCGGGCTTGTGTGGTTTGTTTACGGATTCCCTTGGCCGCAAGATCGGGTTGTCCTTCAAGAAGACGAAGCCGAGAAAGAGTGTGCGCCTGGCGAAGAAGTGAGAGCAGCCACGTGCCGACCTTGGGGACAACTGGCAAGTGGGGCCAGAACCAGAGTAGCCTCTCGGCCCATACGGAAACCTTCAATCGACTCTAAGACCGACAGCCCAGACCCTAATACTGTACCGTCTGTACCTCAACGCTCGTGCGGCAAGTCACCGGGCCATGCCAGCATCCGGAGGTCTGCGGGAGAAACCCCGAGAGAGTGATCGTTTTCGCGCGGCGAAAATTAGTGTCCACAGTTTTGCAGTCGAGACTGTGCCAGGCTATGTTTCTTTGGGCCTGCTGGGTTGATTGCCTCAGCCGTTGAGTGTTCAAACACATGGCATCGACCGGACTCCTCTCAACAAGTGACCCTCTACCGATCCTATGCCGTGAAACTCCAAGGCCTAAATCGCAAAAACGGTTGATCGTGTGTACCACAAGCTCCGCATACTGACCACCCTCCAACTACCAATTCCAAACCCTTGAACCAGAAGGCGGCAAGCCGTACATTGTAGTGTATGTTGTTTTACACCGATGTAAAAAAACATGCACTACAATGTACAGCATTCCAGAACCCGAAGCCGAGCCGAAGTTTAGTTCGCCTCTAGTAGGCTGCCGTAGGCCGAACCCACGTGAAGACGGAAAGAGCTCTCAGAACAAAAGCCCTAGGCCCTAGACCCAACCCATAAGCCCTCTTCAGTCATTAGACCATGTGGTGGTCATGTTGCGGCAAGCTTTGCTGTTCTTGCTGCCGGTGGTGCTGACAGCAGGGCGCCTGTCAGGTGCGGCAGGGTGTTAGGTACTGTTAGGTTGTTTGAGTTTCGGGCGTCGAGTTCAACGGTAGTTTAAGATTCGGCCTTCAAGAAGGAGTCGAGGGGGGGGGGGTATAAGGATTGGAATTTAGACTTTAGGGTTTTTAAGCGATTATCCAAAGTTTCAACTCACGGGTGAGGATTTTGTGAGTCTTGAAACAGGAACTAGTTCACTAAATGAACCTTTGGTGGGGATGTCCTTGATTCTTGGACTTACAGAGCGGGTCACGGGATATCCAAACCTTATGTTTTCTGTTTGTGTGTTTGTTTGGGTCCCTGCCAAGCCCCATGACCGTGCTGATCCTCATCGATTCTTTTGGCAAGGCTTAGGACGTTATTATGAGGTTGTCTTCACGTCACAGCTTCATTGCCAGAAGGACAAGCCTCTTAATATCTCTTAGTCCAGGTATACCTTTTTTGATATATAGAGAGAGGGAGATAAACACAAACACATATGACATATCCATACATCTATCCATACTTACATACATACATACATACATATATACTTACTTACTTACTTTGTGACATATAGTGACCTACACATACATGCATTCATGCATGCATGCACACATACACATACATGTGCGAGCGTGTGTGTGTGTGCGCATATACATGTATGCATATATGCGTATATATATATATATGTACATATACATATACATATATATAGATATATATATATATATATATATATATATATATATATATATATACATACATGTGCACACACACACACACATATATATATATATGTACATATATATGTACATGTATATATATATATATAACATACATCCAGTGTTCACTGGAGATAGATGCCTTGCTCAAAGGGTCTTGGGCTATGCGTGTTCCTGGGTAGGCCTTGGCCTTATCGCCTAACGCGGTTCCAGTCCTTCCGTGCCTTCAAACTCTAAGCCCTAAGCCGCAACACGTTGCAAACTCTAGTTCCCAACATGCTTCAAAACTCCCAGCTCTAAATACAAAGGCCTAGGCCCGACTCCTCAGCACCGTGTCTAAGGCCTACCCCAACTACAAGGGGGGGTGTGGAGCTCCGATTTTCGTTGCCCTTGCTTCGAACCGGAGGTGAACTTTGGTTACCGCCCCACCCGTTCGGGCGGTCTAGAGGGCTACCGGGACTTGAGTTGAGGGTTGCAGGGCCGGGATTCTTGGAGAACTAAAGCCCGTAAACTCTGAGACCTAAACACCTAAACGTCAAGCCCTGAATCCTAGCTCCGACTACCAAGTCCGCGGACCCTAAACCCAAACTCTAGGGGCTGAGGATTTGCAGGTTTCGGGAGCCGGAGCTTACAACCCGAAGCCTGAAGCCCAAGTAGGACTCTCCGGCTTTGCCTTCGTCGGAAACGCCCACATTGCCGCCTGTATCAACTTAGTCTTTAGGGTTTAAGCTCTAGGGTTTATTTGTTCGGTTTCGTTTCTGATGGCTGCTATGAAGCTTGATTTTTGTAGCGTCGTATTGGCCGTCGCCGTCGCAGTCGTAGTAATGTCGTTCTTGTCTCATGCTTCCGGTGTTTTTCTGCGCTTCAGCCTACCATCGGTTTCAGCGTCATTTCTTGTGTTTTGGAAAGTCGGCGGTTGTGGAAAGATGCCATCTTGCTGGGGTTGGGATGTTTACTAAGTCTGTTTGGGAGGTGTGGACTAGGCTCGTGGCTCGACGTGCGCACAGCCCATCACAAAAGCACCGGCAGCAAGAGGAGCTTGAGTCCAATTTGGGTAAGGCAGGGTCAGCCGCTTCTTGGGTCTTATGCGCTCCGTGAGATGGCCAGGTTTTCAGTTTGTCTGTCTGTCTGTCTGTACAAGCCAATGCAAAACCCCAGCAACCGTGATGACGATCTACATTGCCGGATGTAGAATACGAAGGTGCGTAAGTGTGTTTCCCCACGCTCATGCTTGCTCAATACATACCTTCCCACGTCCTTTTTTTGTGGGCCTTCGTCCATTCCTTTGTCCATTCGCAGGACTGGGGCTGAACGCAATGTCGTGCAGCGCCACTGCCGTAGCTGCCACGGGTGCCACAGCAGTGGCGACAGGGCCCACTTCGGCAGGCGCGCTGCCACGACTGGCAGTGCAGCTGGAGGAGCCATGGCAGCTGTTTTCGGAGCGGCTGCCACCATTGTGGGGCCTGCCGTCTTGGTGGTTGTGCCAATTGTTGCCATCGCGGGCGTCGTTACATGGCGTCGGCCCGCCTGCACATGATCCAGCGGTCAAGCTGCCAGCTGGCTTCGCATTGTTGCACATGCGCCTTTGCACCCTGATGCTCAGGCAGAAAGAGGAGCCTGAGACCATTTTGGCTGAGGCGAGCGACTGTCAGTCAGGCAGCCGGGTTGTGAGCAGACCCACCGCACCAGGCAGAATGTATGTTGACGAACAGAATGGTCAACGTGGCTGGCCGTGGCGGCTTTGGAAGCGTCCGCTCTGCTACTCGCACAAGTTGCCAATTGGCCCGAAGTTCGCCGGCATGGCTTGTCCTGACTGATCAGGTTCGATCTCTGGCAAGTTTGCGCCCTTCCTCCGTGAGTCACCAGTTGGACATGTTGCGTGTTCTTTGCCTCGTTTTCCTTGGCTCTGGTTGGGTTTTCGGGTTTAGGGCCCCGTCATTGGCAAGCCATCGGTAAATCCATGTCCACATGTTTTGATTTTTGCCCCGTGCATCCAAGAATGAAAGCATCCGACTGAATTTGTTGATGACTTTTTCCATTCTGTTCATGTTAGGTTTCTGTCCACAAGAAGGAAATTGCAGCGATTTGACGTCCAGTCCGCGGCGAAAAATCAAGATTTCCGCGAAGACAACTATAAAATTGGAAATCAGAGAAATATACACAAACAGGACATACACGCCATGGCACATTCTTGTGCTTCCATATAGCTCATCATACTGGAAAACCCTAGCCTATCCAACCCAAGGCGTGGTCCTGGTCGCTGTCAGCGGCTGCGGGCGTAGCCGAGGCGGCTGCGCAAGACCACCTCAATTGGGCAGGTTCCGTTTAAGGCTTGGATTCTCAGGTTCCGCTTAGCGTTCTGTACAGGGGTCTTATAAGGGCTAGAGATAACGGTCAAGGGCCAAGGATTAGTTGTAAAGGCTTGGAGTTTAAGGGGCGCGCTTTTTTTTCGGCCCCAAACGGCACAGTAACACTATGGAGTTATCCGGCTTGCTTGCTATAGGATTGTTTAGATCGTTTGTTGATCATAAGGCGACCTACTTTAGCGCGTCCAAAGCTTCTACGATCGTCGCGATTTCCTTACAATGTTGCAAAACAGTGTACCCTCAATGGGCATTCCATTCACACAACTTTTAGAACGCCAAACAACCCCAAAACCCTTATAAGGCCCTTGTACAACCCCGTAAAGGTTTTACAATGCCTTGTGAAGCATTAACACTACCTTCGGAGCAACCCTACAGCCATGTAGCAGCTCGTTTTGAAGCCTTCAAAAACGGGTCCGAATGTTCTGAACCCTTTTCAAATCCCTTGTAAAGCCCGGTAAACATGCTGTGATACCCCACGAGCCGACCTTGAGAACCACCCCCTAAACCCACAGAGCAAACAGGTACACAGCCCTGTGAGCCTTGTATAAATGCCGTAAACCCTTCGACGAGTTCTTGAAGACCGTTCAAGAATCTCTTAGAGCTGTGGTAAAGCCCTACAAAACAGCATAACGCCCTTCAAGACCTGCATAAAGCTTCACCTTATCAAGCAATTTGGAGGGACCTTTCAAGGGACCCCCCCAACAGCTTGCCGACGAAGGCCACATGTCTCGCCAAGCCCAAAGGCGGCACGCTGCTTGAATGATTTAAAAGGATTTGGGGCTATGGTTTGGTTCGCGGCTCATAACGTTTTAAGACGGTAAGGGTTCTACAAGGGCTTGAGCTGGGGTTTGGTTTAATTGGCTTCTTCTTCTTCGCATGGGTTTGCCAGTGTTGCTTTCGAGTTTGGGACCCGGCCTCTGCAAGCTAAGCACTGAATATCTTGCAAGGTTGTCTTTCAAAGCCCAAGAGATGCCAAAGCCCCTAATAGTTTTACGGTTGAAGGTTCTATATTTTCAACCAGGTTAAGCATGCCCAATGAGGCATATTCCTTGTATGTGTTAGAGAAACCTTATAAATCCTCACAGAACGTTTTGAACCCGTATCAACCATGTGCAACCCTGTGACGATGCCACCAGGGGAGTTTAATATCTTATAAGCTGTTTACAATTTCATCAAGCATCCTCCAACCCAGCCAAAACTCATAAAGCCCTGCAAAGATCCTCCCAAAATCCTAGCACCACTCTGAGATGCCAGAAACTTTCTACAACACATCATTTAAACCCTCTTTTCATCCTATACGATCTATAAACATCCTGAAAACCTGACAAACTTCTCCACAACATCATTTAAAGTAGAAGCCTATATTACCAATTGCAACTTTAGCGTCGGGATCGTGGAGCCCTCTGAGGCCCTTGTTGCGTTTTGCGCCCCTCCTGCTGTTGCCGTGTCCTCAGCGGTCTCTTGAAGTTCCTGGGTTTGGGCTTTAGGGTTGAGGCTTCAGGGTTTAGGGTTTAGGGGTTTAGGGTTTTGAGTAGAGTAGCTGTTGGGGTTCTAGAAGGTTTTCTTTGCTCGTTAAGGCTTAAGATCCAGTGCTGTAGGGTTTAAGATTCCTGCAGAGGCTTCTTTGAGGGTTTTTATTTCCCTTTCTCTTTGAGGGATCCTTTCAAGGCTTCTCTCCGCGTGCCCTGAAAGAGTTACATTGTATCGGCAATGGGTGTTTGAAGGGTTCGTGGTTTAGGACCGATGTCATTTAAGTTATGTACCATCATGGGCCACAATGAGTCTCAGAGTGGATTATGCATGGATTGGCGCTTGAAGCCGAAGCCCTGAGGCTCGGATGCAGAAACCCGGCATGACACCCTGGGGAGTGAGTCAGAGGACCGGAGGCGATTCCTCCTTTGGGCGCCGGACCGGAAGGAGAGTGGAAGCTGCTATGCGCGGTGCGATACGTGCCGTAGAAGCTGCTGCAAATTCGAGGACCTCTTTGTCCATCTCCTGCCTGAGCATATCCATATGTATATATATATATATGTATACACACAATCTACCTCTGTCGAGGGCATGGTAGATGTGGTTCCTGGGCCAGTTGAGGCATGGCTAAAACGACCGGGGGAGTGTTGGACTGGCAGAGACAGAGGGGCTGCGAGGAAAGGGGCGTCGTGGAGGGTGTGGATTTTTTGTGCATTTGCAACTGACTGGATTGCAGAGCGGTCTTGGTCTCAGAGAGAGGGTCTGAATGTGGGTCGGCATGCCAAGACTCCCGTGTCGGTAGCGGCTCGAGGGTCTTGCTGAGCATTTCGGGAGGGTCTGAAAGTGGTCCGGGTGTCATGGCCTGGACACATATACATCCTGATCCGTGTGGCCGGAAGCGTTGTATCGTTTTAGGGCACGATAGTTTGAAGCCGAATTGTTTTGGAGCATGATTCAAGGCATGTTTCCTCGTATGCTGGCTGTGTTCTCCCTTTTGTGCAAAATTCCGCCCAAAATCATCAAAGCCCTTATAGCAACCTATTCAAACAATAGAAACCCTTTAGGACCTAAGCTAGCCTACCCTAAATCCAGAATGCCAGCGCCTAAACTGCCCTCTCGCTGCTCTTTTCTTTGCGCCGTAAGACTTATCGCGCACCCAAGGCCCCAAGCATACCATACACTTCAGCCAAGGCCCAACGGCGATCCTAAGCTAAGCCCCCAAGCTCAAGCCTGGTTTAGGGTCCCGTGAGGGGTTGGGGGTTTAGGGGTTTAGGGGTTTGGGATTTAGAGTTTGAGTTTTTTTCGGGTTTAGGGTAGAGGGCTTTTTAGGGTTTAGGGTTTAGGGTCTAGTCTAGGGCTTTGGGTTCCTATGTTTGATGCCCACCCGAAGTCATGGAAACCCGACACCCATGAAGCATCCTCATAAGACTCCTAATTATGGAAACCTGGGTTGCAGAGACTTGAGGCGTAAACCAAACCTGAAGCGCCAAACCACTAAACAACCTGTCTAAAGCCCGTCTGAAACTGCTTGAAAGTCCTTCAAAGCCCCTATGAACTTTGAAAGCCGCATTCAGCCATTGTAAAAACCGTTAAATAAACCTCGCCCTACACGACAGACTCACAAGCCTTATAAAGCCTTTCAAGATAGCCTCTACGGCCCCTGCCCCTGAGGCTCTGGGGTGGTCAGCTCGTCTCACTACCCTGGCTGACCGCTCCGCTGCACGCGGAGGCGCTTCCACAAGCCTTGCGGCCTCGCGAGGCCTCCTCCCAGGTTTTCTTTTGGCCTAGTGTTTATAGGGTTTGGGGTTTAGGGTTTAGAATTTAGGGTTCAGGGTTTCTTGATGGTTTTTGTTGTCTCTTTTTGGGATGTGTTTGAGTGGAATTGCAGGGTGTTTGTAACGAAGCATTCTTGCAGGGCTGTAGAAGATTTCTCAGGGGCTGCATCAGATTTTATGGGCTCGTTAAACCCTCGGTTCAGCATGGAGCGGTTTAAGGCAAACAAACTGCCGAATGTGCAGTACGTAGAAGGATTCTCATTTCAAGGCTCTGCGGCTCCGGGATGTTTTTGCCAGGGTCGCGGAATGCGGTGAGTACAGGGACAATTCCACCTGACGCGTGTCCAAGTGTCGTGGTGGGGTCACGGGTTGTAATTAACAGGGCTTTATGCGGGGGCTTCAATGGTGATTCCCGGGAAATTCACTCCTTGATTGAATTGAAGCGAGGCTTATTGAAACGAAGCTTTACATGTGGTTTTATTGATTGGTTTAGGGCATCGAAGACTTCAAAGTCCTTATGAACGCCCCCGGGTTAGAGCTGGTATCAGGGTTTGCGCAGAGTGTGGGGTTTCAGGTTGAGGCTCAACGGTGCCAGGGTTTAGGATGCGCATGAACTCATGACACTGGTCTGTAGTCTGCGAGGGTTACGTCATTGTCTGTCGCTACAAACCCCACCAAAATAGGGGTTCCAAACCCAAAACGCGGAAAAATCCGAAACCCTCAAGCTCGAACCCGCACTAGAGCCTGACACCAAAATTTACCCTCCCAACCCGAAGCCCTGACCCTCAACTCTTAATCCTGAAACTGAAAACCCCCCTCAAACCCTAAACCCGAGTCGCCAGGACTCTCAGTCTCTGTTGGCGCACCAGGGTCCTATCGCACCCATCGGTGCGGCAGATCCGGCAGCCTCCTGGGAAGGTCTCTTTGGGCCTTAGGTTTTCACAGGTAGGAGCTTGGCGATTTTCTGGGTTTAAGGGCTCTTACTTGGCTTCGGCATCGTTTGATCGTGGTGCTAATTCACACCCTGGGTCGTATCCATGGTCAGGACGCTTACGGCTAAATGGATGGCCACGCTTACTGACGATGATCGGGAAATCCCGGCTGGCGGCGCATCATGCAAAAGCCAACCCTTTAGCCTACAGCCTACACAGCCACCAGTTTTTGGGCTGCCCTCAACCCCAAGCCGAAAGACCTCTTTACAGGGTCCTTCCGGGGTCCTGGTAAAACCTACGCCTAAAGCTAGTAAAAAGAAGCCTGGAGAGGCATCGGTGGCCACCTGCAACGCAAAGGCGCGGGGGGTTTCGTGGGTCGTAGGCATTCTGGGGGCTTTAGGGCTTGGGTGACACCAATCAGCTTTGGCGGGGCTTGAAGGGCATATTGACCAGTCGTTGACATCTGATTCGTGCACGTATTTATGCAAACCTTCAGGGTTCGAACAGGGTTCTGGACTCTTCCAGTACAGCTGCATCTGAATTACAGAGGATACATGATTATTGATTTGTTCAGACCTCGATAATATGAGTGCCAGAAGCTGTCAAGAGAGCAAGAGGGTGAACTAGCCATGTATTTTTGTTTTTTCAATGACTCCTCACTAGTCGCAGCTTGCGGCTAGCTGAACCCCGAGTTAAGAAGGCTTGGGCTCTGAGCTCAGGCGCTGACTGTTCGTCTTGAGACTTCTCAATAACTTTGCCTACACCCTACACCCCCAACCCAGCTCTGAGATCTTCTTCCCTAACACTACATGCTCGCCTGCACACCGTGCTGACGGTTCATTTTACAGTAAGCCTTGGACACGACCCAAACCCTACGCCCTGAAGCAGGCAAGCCCAAAGCCCAAACTCTAGACCCCTAATGCCCCAAAGGCCCAAAGTAATGAGCTTTGATCTGCTTCAGACACGCCATGCCTTGTCGCATGCCTTGTCAGATGTCAGAACGATCTCTGTCGTGCTCCCATGCGCCGAAGAGCGAGATAACGTTGCTCAGCCCAATGTTTTTTTATTCTTAGGACTCAGGGATTTCAGGTTCAGGGTTTAGCGTCCCGGTTGAGGGTTGCTTCCATGAGGGTACAACCCTGGACTCCAACCTCCACCCGAGACCGCGCATTCGAAAATTTGGTTGATCCCAAACCGTCACTCAGGAACCCCAAAATCCCAGTTCAAGGTTTCAAGCCCGAAGCCCCAAACGGAAGCTTGGGATTTGTCCCCTTGGGGGGGTGGGGGGGGGGGTGGGCTGGGCGACTTTCGGGCTTAAAAACTTTAGGGTTTTAGGCATTGGTGCTTTTGGCATTGAGGTTTGTTTTTTGTTGGGATCAGGTCCGACGATTTGGTACATTACAGGCCTTCATAATTAGGATAGGGTTTGGGGTACAGTACCTTATACTTGTACGTCTACTAGGAGGCCTAAGGAATAGCATTGGTATTTAGCCAGGCGTCTATCTTAGAGTTGTGGGCTTCGCTCCGGATGTAGTTTTTCAGGCTGATGCATGTGGGCGCAGGCTCCCGGGCTTTGTGGGATAGAGAGTTCGTGTGCGCATGTTGCTCCGGTTTTTGCATTTGACCTGGTTCGCGATTTCCGGCTTACCTCTCTTCTCCAAATTACTTCAATTGCTTCTTCTTGTTCTTGTCAACTCGTTGTATGTTAGCTCGGACCTTCTAATAATGGGCGTGCTGATACAAGAAGAACCTGGCGCACGAGGCTTCCTTGCTTGCTCATGCAGAATCTGCGGTAAATTTTTTCGAGTATATGTAGGCTTTGAACGCTTTGGGTTAAGAGGACCTGATGGCCTTCATGGGTAGTGGCAAGCAGCATGACACGTGACAGAACTCTTGGCAGTGCCATGGCCGGTGCAATGTGGACCGGCGCCTCTAAGCCCTTAAGCCCAAGGCCTTGACCCCAAAACCTCGACCCTAAACCCTCTAGACCCGAAGCCCCAAGCCCTAAGCTCCTAAAGCCCAACAGCCACTTGAGAACCTTCGGGACTGTTCTAGAGGTCCTCTATGCCCTACACTACTGCCCTGAAACCATCATACCTAAACCATTCCAGGCGATCTGGACGGTTGAGCGCTTCTGCCGTCGCACTCCTGCGGAACACCTTCAGGAAAGGGTTTTGGGCCTTTGGCTTTGGTCTTTGTTAGGGTTCAGGCTTTGGGTTCACGGTTCAGGGTTCGGGCTCAGGGGCGCAAGGTTCATGGTTTTGGGGATTTCAGGTGCTGGCTCCAGGAATGCAAGGTGAGCACGAGAGGAAATGTGGGGACGTAGCGTTTGGGTTCGGGGTGTGGGGGTGGCGTGTAAGGGTTTCGGGATCATGAGTGTTGGAGTTGAGGTGCAGGTTGAGGGTTCAGTGGTAGCAGTTTGGGGCTTGGTTTTTTTAGGTTTCAAGGTTAGGTTGAGGTTTCAGGGGCCTATTTTGCTTACACCTATCGGTTCTGCTTTTCTTTTAACAAAGGATCTCTGATAAGGAAGTTCTGAGGTCCTTTGTTTGGGGCAGATAGAGCAATATAGACCTTGTATTGGGAACCTTAATTGTTTGAAGCCCCCAAATGTGCCTTGAACCTCAACGTTAACCTTTCAGCAATCGCTGTTGGTTCAATCGGGACGTGATCGTGGCCATTTCGACGCCTACATGAACGATGTTGCCCATCCATCTGCAGGGTCGCCCAGCTGAACAGTCGTTGCAGTACCAGCCGGCGCGAGTTGACTCTAAAGTTGAAAACCCAGCCAGGAATGGGACCCTGAAGTCGCCACACGGTACAGTAAGCCCCTGCACACGCTGCCCCTACAAACTACAAAGACCAGCAAGCCCTGGTACTAGCAGGTCTTCAGCAACCCCAGTTGGCATCAAGCCGGCCACCCTACAGACCAGCCACGAGGAAACCTGAACCCGTGAATGACCAACCCCCACACGGGTCCAACCCCGCAAAACCGGCGATAGAAATAGAGAAAAGCAACCCCCACAGTCGGGGCCGTCTTGTCTACGGCTGCACATAGAGTCGTGCTTCACAACATTGTTAGGGGTATGCAGCCTACAGCTTCGGGCACCGATGCCTAGGAAGCTTGCAGCTTGACGTTCCTACCGCCTGTTGCTTAGCAGCGCCTGGCGCAGCTTCTTGATGCCGTCGAGACTGGAGGTCGCTGGTCTCGTTGAGAGCATGGCGTGACTTGGACCAGATCCTTCGCGCCGGCGCTTGATCTCTGTCGCTTGCATCTTTTAAAGGTCAGGTCTGACGTTGTCCCGGGGCTTGAAGCCCTCGTTCTCGCAATTTGGATTGACTTCACAGTTAGGTGACATTGCCAAGCAGCTTTTGAATGCCGAGTATTTCAGGCTAAAGTTTTCCACCCATTTTAGCAAGCAAGCAGCAAACAAACAAGATTGCTCCTTAAACAAACAGATTATAATGTAGAGCTTCAAGAAAGCACAAACGCAAGGAATATCACATATACATCCCCTTAGATGAAGCCCAAGAGGCAGGGATATCCATGTAACATGCATATGCTTATGATGTCCTTTTTGGAATGCCACTTTCGCACGAAGAACCCCACCCCATACCCCCTTGGCAGAAGGAGAAACAACTCCATGACCCTAAGCTCGCAATGGTTCAAAGAGGACAACAAAGCCTAAAAATTAAGCCCTGATGTCCTAAATTCCAACCCCGCGAGCCCTGAACCCCAAGACCCGAATGATCGGGAGCAGGGCAGTTCTCACATTCCTTCTAGGTCCCCAAATAGTACGGCGCCCCAAAAAAGCAGCGCCTAAGAGCGACGCCAACTTAGAGAGCTACAATTTCAAGCACTCAAGGTTACGATTCCCTAAACTAAACCTTAAACCATAGATCCTAAGCCCTAGTTTAGAGAACTAGCCAGGAGGTGATCGTGGTCGATGATGGGTCAAACCCACCGCTAGAGCAGCTCTTCCAGCAGAGCGAGGATAAATGGGCCCAGGAAGCCGACCTGGTTCTGGCTTCGGGGTTCAGGGAGTTTAGGGGGTTGAGGGGGGTTGAGGGGGGTTTAGGGGGTTTAGGGGTTTAGGGGGTTTATGGGGGTTCAGGGGGGTTTAGGGTTTAGGGGTCTGGTCAATATCAGCGGCCTTAATGCTTGGAATAGTTTTTGTTCTAACTTTGGAGGGGGAAAATGATACTATAGAGCAAACAGGTGAGAAAGGGCCCTGAGCCGTTTCGGTGCAGGGTTGAGGGCTTCGGATGCAGGAATAATTAAAGTCTACACCTCAATCTGATAACCCGACAATCCTGAGCGCCAGCTGTAGAATTGGAAATTCCGTTCTTCATGCCCCAAGCCCAGCACTGCTCTTTCTCTTCCAGTTTCCAACTTTACGGCAAATTTATGGGTTCACTTGGCCAGCCATAGCCCCTCAAACCCAAACACGCCCCACATGCCAGAACCTAAAGGCCTTAGGGTTTAGGGCGTAGGGTTTGCGGGGTTTTCTGTTTATACACCCCGAATCCCTAGACGTTTAAGTTGCATCCCCCAACTTCTGGAGCAAGATTCAACGCAGGACCCGCAATGTAAGGGAAAAGTCCGATTCCTGCGCCATGCGTCTCGGCCGCCCAGACAGGTTTCTGTTTTTTTGTGGGGCTTGGGTTCAGGGCTCGGCTGTATGGGGTTCCTTTCTTTAGCCTGTCAAAGTCTCAAGGTTGGGTTTCGGGGTTGCGCTTCAGGATCTGGGGAGAGTTCAAGGTGAGGTTTGGGGTTCGGATTTGGCGTTGCGGTTGTGTGACGTTAGGCAGGAAGTTTGGGAGATTACAAATGGATTGCAGGGCTGCTTCCTGAAGTAAGGGACCCTCTATTCCAAGAAGCGCCCGCTCGCTCCATGGGTGCGGGGTTGGGACTAAGTACTTGTATGCACATCAGGTTAGAGCACCCTTAGAAGACCGGCGGTTCTAAGCTTTTGCGATTCAGGCTGTGATGACTTCAGTGTCGTGGGCTTTGGGGCTTTAGGGGTTGAGCGTTCTCGAATTGGGGTGCAGGACCCGCTGAGTCCCGACAAACAATGAACTAGCCAGTTGGCTTCCGAGCAGTTGTAATTTTCAGGTATTTTCGGTTTTTGTCTTCCTGGATTTTGTGTGCATCTGAAGTTCCTATCCTGCCTCAGCCAGTGACCGGGTAGAATTCTTATATAACCCACAATCTTGTCGAAGTCCAGAAAGAAACCCTGGCGCTATAACTAGAGTCCAAGTCTTGGATCGCCCTACCGCTACTTTGAACTCATAGTAATGTGGCAACTTTTGGTAGTTTGTGATGTGGTAACAGTGTTTATTCTAGACGAAGGGAGAATCACGCTGCTTTACGAAAGCACCAAACCCAGCAACAGTTGTGCAGATGCTTTTAGCGCCCCTATGAAGCCTTTATGGCACGTTGTAAAGTCCGTCTGAAGCCCTGAAGCCCTCACCAGGCCGTATAAAGCCCCACAAAATTCCATAAACATTCTCCCCCGCTGGGGAGGAAACGACAACGGGGCTCATGGCCGCCAAGCTCACCGGTGGCCGGGAGGTGAGGTTTAGGGTCGAAGCGGTTAAGGGATTGGTTGGGTTTTGAGGCTTGTGGGTTATGGGGTTTTGCATCTAAGGGTTTAAGAGTTTCAGGGTTTAGGGATTTTGGGGTTTACGGTTGAGGGTTTGGAGTCTAAGGGTTCTCATGGTCAGTTCTGTCCTATGAGGGTTTAGGATGCTTATGAGGAGTTGGGATCGTCAATCACCACCTCCACGATAAGGGCGATTTTTTGCGACTTATATGAGTGTAGGTCTAGGTGCTAGTATTTACTTATGCAAGTGCTAGTACTAGATCAAGGATTTTCAGTCCTTGACCTCAGCATGAACCATGACGGGATGTAGCAGAGACTTTTGGTAGTTCTCAATACATTCGGGCCACCGGTGCTGTGGCTTTCCGGGACTGTTGCCTCGCAGCTGCAGCAAGACTGCATTATGCTGACAACTGAGTGACTGATGGTTGGAGATGTTGCACACTTAACGTTCAGGGTTGAATAAGGCTTCGGATCTGCGGTTTAGGATTTAGCATATATGGCGTTTAGGGTTGTTTGAGGCTTGAGGTTCCGGGGATAGGCTTCAGGTTGAGGGTTTTGGCCGGGTGAGTACTCTCAGTACGAACGTTGCAAAGAAGAGGTAGAGTCCACCCAACAAAAACTGTGCCTGCTACTGTTACTATTACTATTACTATTACTATTTTTATTACTATTACTATTACTATTTTTATTACTATTACTATTACTATTCCTCTCAACCTGGCAGCGCCGACGCTTTTGTGAGTGATTGGGTATGTAGGGAGAGCGAGTTGTTGGCCTTGAAGATGGATTTGGTTTAGGGTTTACCTGTATAATAAGGCTACATGACATTAAGCGTTGCCTCTCATGTATGTATTTCGTTGGAGAGGTAGGTGTTTTGGGCTCTCAGAATCCTATGCGTCATGGCCAGTACCTGGAAGGAATCGATCTGAGGCCGAGACCCAAAACTCCTAAACGCGCACCCCTAAACCCCGAATTAAAAAACCTTACAGCATCCCTTATTGCAATGCGCACCCCGGAAGGCAATGGCATGACATTGCCAACAAATTTGATGTAGGAAAAACTAAGAACCATTTCGTTGAGTTCACCAAGGATCCACGTTCATGTCCTACGAAAACATTGGGGTGTCTTCAGCCGGATCCTACCATTTTGGAGTACAAAAATTACTACACACCGTTTATCGTCCCAAAGGTCAAAATAAGTCAGCCCTGATCCGATGATGCAGGCCCGGGGTGATGTCATCGCATTCATTGATTGCCATTGTGCGCCGCAGCCGAATTGGCATCAGGCGGGGTTGATTTGGGAGGGTCTCAAGCGAGGTTTCCGGGGTTTCATTTGGTGCTTCATAAGTTTGGGATTTTAGGATTTGTGGGGCTTGCTGTAGTTGAGGTTTCTTGGCTTGAGCGTTCGGTTTGGGGCTGGGGTGTCTTGAACAAATTGCAGCGCCAGAAATCAGTAGGAACAAACATGCAAAGAGAGTGCTACCTACCGCACTGTGCTAGCTGCATTTTCCATTATGCCACTCTGTTTTCAGCAGACAGTGGTGCAGATTTCCGTGTAAGGATTCCCATGTATTCTGTCGTGGTTATGAGTTGACTGTGCTTGAGTTGAACATGTAGTCATGCACGTGCAGCAAATGGCAGCAAATGTGCTTACTGTGTGATTTCTATGGTAGGTCGAAACGTCTTGCATTGATTGTGGCGAGTTGTTGTTGCATCGTTGCTGTCGTGATTTTTGCATGGATTGTGCTGTTTATGCTTTTGTCTTTTCCCTCGTTTTTCTATGTTCTTCCGTCTCTTTGTGTATTGTGGTACTCCGTTCCTAGTTTTTTCCTATTTTCATGTTTCCTTTTTTCCTAAGTTGACTGTTTCTGCAACCTGGCCGACGGTTCCATTTACTTTCCTACCCTAAACATTATAATCCCAAAACCCAATCTCCAAACCCTAAACTTCGTGAGTCGCTTGTATTTATCCAGCTTTGGGGTTTGGAGTTTGTGGTTTTGGGTAATGGAAGGATCATGGCGGGCGAAGTTTGGGTTTTTAGTTGTGGAGAAGGCTAGAGAATATAGGGGCCGAAATAAATACCAATACTGTTTTGGTGGTTCCTCGTTATAGCTACAGTATAGTATACCCCAAAACCCTGTTCTATTTATTCAGGCCCTTGCAATCGGGGTTCAACAAGCCCCGACTTGAAACCTGCTTGATTGCTACGTTTTTCGAGCCTTCAGGCATGTCATGTTTGGAATGTCGGAGGAGGATGAATCAGTTTGATAGTATCCCTTAAAGTCACCATGTAGCTATAATTACAAACACCCGCAGAACCCCTTTTTTATGCGATTCAGGCCCCTACTTTGCAAGCCTCACTTTACATAGAAAAGCCTTCCAGGAGATCCTGGCACAAGTGCGTGCCACGGCAGCGGTTTAGGGCTTGGGGAGTTGGGGTTTGGGGATTATCAATTATGAGTGCTTTCTAAGGTTTTTTTTGTCAGCTATTTGGATTTTATTGGTTCTCTTGGGATCGTTACTGGGGGCTTCAAAATATGCAATTGTTTTAGGGTCCATGTTGGGGTCGCTTCTTTCTGAAACTCCCACGTCCTGATCCCTCCTTTTCTGTCGAGGGCTGCCTGCGTGGGAGCGTATCCTTAAACCCTATACGCGCTAAATCCTCAAGGGAAAGCCCGGAGCCCTGAAGCCCAAGAGCTCGAACGTTGAAACCCTCAACATCCGTCAAGAGCTTTAATATAGGGGCCTAAATGACTACCGATACTATTTTGAGGGGTTCCGGATATACTATATTTATAGTATAATGGGCCCCAATATCCTATTCTGAGTATTCAGGCCCCTGTATTCTACCACCCTTATAGATCCCTTATAGTAGCCCTAGACCCCTTTAAAGGAACTCAAAAGACCCTCTGAGGCCTGAACCCACGTCGGATGGTCGTGCCTGCCATCACGGACTTGGATCTCGACACCTTCGACGAAAGAGCGGACTCACAGGCTTAACTCGAGGGGGTTTTTCTAAGGCTTCTTTTAAGTCTCCCTGAAGGGTTCCGTTCCGCGCTCCTGCTAAGCGGGTTCAACCGGCTCGCTTGAAGATATCTGGAATCGGAGCTTAGGAAGTGGACTGTGGTATGGGTGTATTGTAAGATATAAGCATTCGCGCTCCTGCTAAGCGGGTTCAACCGGCCTGCTTGAAGATATCTGGAATCGGAGCTTAGGAAGTGGACTGTGGTATGGGTGTATTGTAAGATATAAGCATTTAGGGTGTTAGGGCTCGGGATTCAGGGTATAGCAAGGCAGGTGAAGGATCCGGCCAAAACCCCTTAGTTAAGGAAGACACCTTACGCGGAAGGTAAATCTGATTCAGACTCGTTTCTTCAATATAAGAGTTTTGGAGCCTCGCTTCAGTTAGTCGCTTATAATGCCACCATTGGATATGCGATGCTTGCATGCCAACTATACTCCCGAGTACGCCTACTTTGTAGGTTCGTAATCTCAGGTGTCCATGAAGCCCTTAACCTTAATCCGTGAATTTGCTGTTTAGGGTTCCGGGCTGTTTGACGTCGGACTGAAGATTTTACCCTGCCTCCACAACTACTTTTGATGTCCTCATAACTGATCCTGTACGCGACGCACTATGGGCTCAAGTCCCCACACGGTAAAAAGACCGCCAGGGTTGACTTAAGGGTACCTTGCCGTGAGCTGTAGACCTGGGAAACTTCAGGTTATCAGCCGTAGTCAGCTCCTGTCATGGATATCGTGCCCTTCCGTGCTGCATCGGGTGATAGTGATGATCACAGGAATGAGGCGGCGGCAAATCAACATGTCTTGCAACTTCTCCAAGAGAACAGACAAGTGAACGTGTTTGTGAACGACCCCAGATTCAACAAGCTTTGGAGCTAAGGGCTGAGAGGAGACACCAGTTTGTGCTGGATAACATCTACTCGGAGGCCAACAGCTACATCAGTTACCTGGAGGCTACCGCCGACGCGAATCATCGCCAACAGCTCGCCTTCGTGAGGGAATCCACCATGGTTTTGGTAGGACAGCTGCACAACGAAACACGTGTCCTAGAGCAGATCGCCCATACAGAGCAGCGAGCGGCACGAGAGTTACAGGCACAGCTAGCACGCACGGAACAGGCGTGTCGTGACGAAAGGTCAATGGCAACACAGCTTGATGCACATCGTTCGGAATTGGAAGCCGCAGCACGCACGCTCACGTCTGAGAACAGACAGCACGAACACAGCTTCGCCGAGTTGCACGCATCAGTCGATGAGAACCGAGCACAACTCATAGATTATTTGGGTTATGAGTTTCAAGAAAAGCTTCAGTGGGAAGAGAACGAATGCCACTATCGTCTTACCTCTGAGGAACAACAGTGTGACAGCTTGATTGACGACCTTCAAGATCGTAACGCGGAGCTTATAGTTGAGGTCAACTCGCTAAGTCATCAGTGGTGGTTGCCTTCGTGCAGGAAGTTACTTCAAGAGACTTCACGCGGACGAAGCAAAGCGCGCTTGCTGATTGAGACGGTGCGACACCTGCTTTCATGGCAAGGCAGAATGTTCACCACAATGTGGTTCATTTACTGATTGAAAAAGGCGCCGTGCTGACAAGAACAAGAGAAAGACTTTCAGAAGCATGACTGCTGTCTGGCGGCTCGCTCGAAAAAGAGCATCCATCTTGAACAGCATGGTGGACGCTGAGTTGTTTGCAGACATCGGCCACCAAGGTCCCGAAACCCCCCATAACCTAACAACAACTGACTTTGAAACTCCAGCCAAGGCACCAATCTTTGCACCCCAAGTCCCAGAAGCCCAAGACTTTCAAACTGTCATCTTAAACCCTCAAACCCTATACCATGAACGTGTTTTCTTTAGGTAGGCCAGATCTCCTACAGCCTTGCACAGTCTCAGCTTGAAAGCTAAGCACCCCCTGGACTTTCGGGGTTTAGGATTTAGGGCTTAGGGTAATTGTTGTTTTTTTCGAGACAGATCACAGAGCAGGTCAATGCCAAGTGCTATCTCACTTTAGCCTCTCGGTGAAGGGTGGGATGAAGGAAGGTTGCGCAGTTCCAAATAAGAGACCTCTATGCGGGGTCCTTCATACTTCCTGGCTTCATCCGACCTGCTTAATGCAAGAATAGTAGATTTACTGCTTTTTGACATTCAGAAGTCTACTCTGGATCCTTGAAGGGAACGGTTCGCGTGCACATGTTGTTGGGATGCCTTTATCGTTCTTTTCAGGATTTTCGATTTGCACCGCTTTCCGTGTAGGCGCAGATTTTTGTTTGCACCATGGTTTATGCGCAAGGTGCCTGTTTGTAGATTCTAGTTGCGCTGCTCGACTGTGCGGTTTGGGGTTTTTAGCTTGAGCGTGTAATAGCTCGCATTCGGGCTTAGGGTCCGAAGGTATGAACCGTTTCATTAAGGGGCCTGAGTGCGGGACTAAGCAAAACTTCAGTGAGTGTACGTAGCACACCGTTTGAAATTCGACGGTGGTGTGTGTGTGTGTGTGTGTGTGTGTGTGTGTGTGCGGATTGTTCTGCTTTTGGGATGCTACTTGCAGAAAGCCTCAGAAGTCAGTTACGTTTTATGGTTATAAGCACGCTGGCAACCAAGTCAGTGGCTGGAACATGCTATGGCCTGAGACTCGATGAGCAGAAAGATCGACAAGTTAGTGAGGCCTTTCTTTAGGGCTCCCTCGTATAGAGCACGCGCGTACAGACCAAGCTACACCCCAATCCTGGATCCTTCTTTGCCTGAACCATAGAGCTCCTCAGCCCCAAATCCCAATCTTGATCCTTGATCTCCAACTCTGCCATCCCACAACCAAACCACACCAAGAGCCCACAACGCAAAGCAGGGAATCGGCCTCGAGTTTGGAGGGCGTGGGGGGGTGTCAGTTAGGCTTAAGTTGCAGTTTCCTGAGAATCCCCAGACCCTAGAACCTAAGCTACGGCTGAGGATGCTGATTTCAAATGGTTCGATGACGAGTCAGACTTCATCCCGACGCGACTGGCTGACATTGCCGGAGTGTTGCCGGTTCTCGTTTTAGGCATTGTTGGGGCTTGGAGGGTCTGCATTAAACGATATTCGCTGGAGACCGTTAACTCCGTTGACCAGCCGAAGTCCAAGTCCACTTCATAAATCGAGGAGCTCCAGCTGAGCGCTGACTCAGAGGAGTTCGCTGAAAGCTACGTGAAATTGGACATGATCTGCATGCTTGTCATATATTAAGCGTTTCAGGAAAACGACAAGTTATCGTCAAAAAGTAGGCGTATGTTTGTACATCTGATCATTTGTCAGTAGTATTTCCGCATTCACTGCAGCTAGTATACGCCCGAGATAGGCAGATCTGAACAGCCAAACCCTCATCATGCCTTTGGAGCCCTTCTGACAAGTCGGAGACCTTATACAGGGGCCTAAATAAATGCTGTAATTACCTATACTATCTCAGGAGTTCCCTACGATGCTTATAGTATAATCTATACCCCAAAAGCCTATTCCAATTATTAAGGCCTCTATAGTAAGCTTCCAAGCAACATCCCAGGATCAGCGGAGGACTTGTCGCGATGGGTCGCGAGTGGTCCCCCGGACAGGTTTAGACTTCACGGCTTTGGATGAAGGGCTCCAGGTTTGAGAGCTTAGGCCGCAGTATGGTATTTAGTTTTTACGGTTTGGGTCACGGCTTCGAGTCCTTGAAGCTCTGAAGTTTTCAACTTAAAGATGTCTTCAGTAGATCATGGCATCACCACATCACCACCCCCGGCTACAAGCCACAAGCCCACAGCGGGATTGGGTTTCCAACGCGTAGATGGGCATGGTGATAATTTCCTTTCTCAATACGCGTACTTTCGTGGGGCTTCTCAGGAAGGAATCCCAGAACCTAAGTTTCCTGTAGGCTTCTTCTGCAAACGCCGGCGGTATCGGACGGCTTCTTCCATCACTAAAGTGAAGTGCTGGATCTATTCTGTTCGGCTGGGTGCTCTCCGAATTAGATTTCATCCAGCCTTCTGCATCACCGCCTACATCTGCCGCCTTTGCTGTATAGTTCCAGCACATGAGCAAGGCGTCGTCTGCGTATTCCAAGGCGTAGGTGGGCAACTGGGCTTACCACTTCTGTGCTTAAAGGTTTAGGGTTTAGGGTTTATGAGAACCTGCTTTGCCAAATGAGGGTTCACTGCTTCGGATTCGGATGTAGGAGTTTAGAGCTTGCCTGTAGCCTCCCAATCACCACCTTCTAAAGTGCTCGCGCATATGTATAGACATATATATATATACATACACACACATGCACGTACACACACACACATACATGCACACACGGAGCTCGATGAACACCAAACACATAGGCGACTTAGGCTCAAGGGTAGGGCTCAGGGGTTTGGGGTCCCCGGAACCGAACGACAGAACACTAGATCCCTCTGATGTCCGGTTCGATATTGCTGCGCTTTCTCTGGCAGTTGTTGAAGAATAGGGGATATAGGAGAAAGGGTACCTCCAAACCCTGAACCCTAAACGCCTGGGTAGCCTAGAAGAAGGCCCTCCAATTATAAATACCCTTTCAGGAACCCTATAAAGCCGATGATAGCATCCTTACATGTACCCTAAGTAATCCTTTCATTAGCGGCCGTCGGCTCCCTCATGTGAGGTTCAATGCAACCGGCGGCTTCGACGAGGAAGCCTCGGGTTGTAGGGGGTTGCAGAATTGAAAGGACCATGGGGGTTTTGCTGCGGGTCTTATGCAGAGGTGTCATATTGGGGGTTCATAGGGCCGTGTTGCATTGAGGATGATCAGGGTCTTACGAGGTTTACAGGGCCGCTTTTGTCCATTAGGGGTCTTTGCATTCTGAAGCCCAGCCCGCATCCAAGCAGCTCTTTGGCACAGGAGATGCACGGCTGGGGCGGAGAGAACTTGGCCCGGGTGCTCAAAAGTCAGTCTGTTTTCGTTAGAGCTGGTGGTTGGAGTTTAGGGCCTAGGGGTTCAGCCCTTGTTCACGTAAGCCCCCAACCCCAAATTTGTTTTGTGGGCCCAGGGTTTCGGATTTAAGGTGTATTTGTGCTTTGTGCTTAAGGCTTTAGGGTTCAGGGAGGGTTTCGGGCCCAGGCTTTGGGGTTTTCGGGGCCGGGGGCTTAGGGTCGCACTGACTTCTGAGATACGAAACCCCTGGCCCAAACTGGCTTGATTGGTACTCAAAGAAAGGATGCTGAGAGCTGGGAAGACTCAGACTTACTCCGGCAGTATTCCGTGTGCGCTTGTAATTTTGTGTGTTGAATGCGCCTTGCGCGATGAACAGTAAAGTCAAACCGTAAACCCCTAAATCCTTAACCCTCCGCGCCAGACCGGCAGCAAGGACCAGTCCCTTCGAGCTTGGCTTTGTGGTGGCGACATCGTCCGGGCCAAGACCAGCCGCGTAGCTCACATGCCTTGGCCTTAGTACCATACCGTTTTGGGTTCCCAGATTTTCGACGCTTCGCGTCGTCCGCCTCGGCCCGGCTTTACTTGAAGCAGGTGCGTGAGGTGCACTTTTTCGGAAGGCAACAGGTAGGTCACGTAGACGAGGCCTTGAGTTAATGAGTGCCCTTGCTTCAGAATATTTTTTGGAAGTATTTGTTTTCATGCTGAGGCTCTGAGCAATATTCCCACGCGAAGGGTGGCAGGGAATGTGCATGATCTCATAGACGTTCCTATAAACACCGCTTCAGCCTGGCCCGAGGCGAATTAAAACCAAACAGTGGGGAAAAGGGTACCCTTATCATTAAGCAGTCGAAGCTGTAAAGTAGGAACTTTCTAAGCCTTGTGCCCTTTAGATAAGTATCGGGAAGCGCAGCACAAATCATCCCAAGTCAACATTCCAACTTTCTGGGGTTCTCTATGCGAGTTTGAATAGCTCTTAACATTCTTTGTCCGTGTTTGTTTCGCAAAGATCTAGTATACAATTCGTCATAAATGCCTCTGAAAATGGGCTCTGAATGACACAGTCTTTGGACTTGCGCAATTGTTTTAGTAAGGGCATAGTCTAACACGAGGAATAGCAGATTCCTGTCTGGTCCCGAAGCAAGTATAATCGGAAAAGCCCAACATCTTATTCTGGTCTCGCAAAATTATACCTTGAAGCCCTACTCGAACCTGTTGAGAAAAGACCCTAATAGCCCGCATCTTGCCACAGTGGATACTCCCGTGCCCGAGTAAAACATCATCCTATACTTCGCAGATGCCTCCAGTAATCGAGCAATAATCTGCCAGGGTCGTCGTTTTGTTTCTTGCTTCTATGTACATCTCCAGCACCCTACTCTGTGTATGTGGTGATGTTATAACCAACCCACCCAAACCCCAGTCTAATCACAAACGCTCCATATTTGAGCCTTGGATCCTTGTAATCTACACAAAGCAAACCCTTAAACCAAACCCTTATAAAAGCTTTCGGGATCTTCCACTCGTGTAGTATATCCTCGCCTTTTTTTACTGCCACGACTCGTCCAACGCTTAAACAGCATTGTGGCGATGATGACAGTGATGATGATGACGCTGGGCTACAGCGCGAGGTTTCACCATCATCATCATCATCACCACCATCATCATCAGCAGCATCAGAAACAGCAGCAGCAACAGCAGCAGCAACAGCATCATGAACCACAGCAGCATTATCTTCTTCATCATCCTCGTCAGCACCACTATCATCATAATCAGTACTTTTCATGCAGTTCTGCTGTTGCTGCTGCTTCTACTGTTGTTGCACTGTTGTGGTTTTGGTTCACACATTACCTTGACTTCTACTTCGTACTTTGGAGTCGCAATTCGGATCACGATGTGGATCCTGAGGAGCCGGGTCGAAGGACTGGGCGTGCTGGCCTTCCTACAGCACGCCTCCTAGTAGACGGAATTCAATCGGGAGCTTTAGTCAAACGCAGATCGCAATAAAGACACGAAGTCGCAGGATCCTTCATACAAGGACTGTATATAGCCCTCAACCTTTCCATGCACAACAGCGGGGCACTCCAAAAAATTATTTCAGATTTCAACAACCCCCCCCACCCCCAAAGCAACCCAAGGTGGCGAACAGGTAAGGATCGACGTACAGCCTCTCGGTCTTCGGTTCTGCTGGGTGTGTGTGTGTGTGGGTGTCTAAAGACTGTATCGGGCTTCCACAAAGGTTCTTCAGGGTTCTAGGGTGTTTGCATGGGGTTCTAGGGTTTCAGGTTGGGTTTCCGGGCCGTTTCATGATTTTGAGTTTTGTTGGGTTTCGTATTCGGGTTTCAGGGTTTGGGGCGTAAAGTCATTCAGCGTTGTGGAGTATGAGGGTTTTGGTTTTGGGGTTTATGAATCAGGGTTTGTTGGGCTTCTTTTGTCCATTTTCTATGTTGCGGTGATGCGGCATGGGGGGGTTGAGTGGTGGTCGAAGGTTCGGGGTTTCAAGGTTGTGGGTTGAAGGGTTTTGGGGTTTGGGGTTTAGCGTTGTGTGGTTGGGGTTTGAGAGCAAACAATGGTCCAGGATCGGGAGTTTAAGCGGTTTGAGGTTGAGGAGTAGTGAGTAGTAGTGTAGTAGTAACAGTGGCAGAAGTGGTGATGGTAGTAGTCGTAGTAGTAGTAGGAGTAGTCGTGATGGTAGCAGTGGCGGTAGTAGTCGTAGTAATAGCGGTTGGCTTCAGATTCTGGCATTTGTTGGATTTTTACGGGCGCGCAGAACTCGCAAACCCTAAACAGCTTTTTAGCGCCGAAGCCGGCAGGACTCCCCCAACTACAGGGGTCGGGTAGTTCTCTAAATTAGGGTCCCTGTTCAGGAATGCAAAAGAAGGAGACACCGGGATAAAACGGAGCCCAACGGAGCCCAACTGTTAGAGTTGAATTGTGTCTTCCGGCTTGAAGCTGTAGCCCGAGGGAACAGGCGTATCCTGATGGACGAAGGAGAGCTTTGTCACGTTTGCAGATGAGCAGTCAGGGGTCAGGAGCCCCCAAAGCAACCGTTAAGGAAAACCTTCCTGAAACAGAAAACAACGTCAAGGGGGCCGGCTTTCTTTTAGCCTAAAAGAAAGCTTAAACCCTACTCGAAGTTTGCAGCGGACGATCTTCTCAGCTGAGGCCACGCACTACGTGATCAAGGCCGAAGAATTCATGGGTGTTAATGCTGTGTTATAGATTGGTTACGGTTAGTTGTTCAAAGGGCCTTCGAGGGTCTTTGTGCAGGTTGAGTATGGAAGCTCGGATTCCGTAACAACAGAACCAATACAATTAGTATGGTAAGTATGGAACTCCTGACGCCAGTTCAATTATTCAGATCTGAGCGGGATCGTTGCAAGTTTTGATGCCTAAATGCCAGGGGTTCTAAGACCCCGCTACATCCCGAAACCCGCGCCCTGCTGTAAGACAGTTTAAATTCCATGGAGCATTTATTCGGCACCTATGGTCCAATGATCCTTAAAGAGCATGGGGCGCTATATCTTGTCTGTAAGCTCCATATTAGCTCAATCACGGCGGTCAGCTAAGCAACCTAAAGCCAAAGACCCTAGGCACTAGATGACCCCAGAACACCTTCATAAATCCAGCCCTACACCATATAGCTCAAGCCGTACAGCCTGAAGTCCTAAGCCCTAGGTTCTGTGCACTTGTTTTGGCGTGGGTGTGGGTGTGGGTGTGGGTGTGGGTGTCGGTGTGGGTGTGGGTGTGTGTGATTGTGTGTGTGTGTGTGTGTGTTTGTGTGTGTGTGTGTGTGCGTGTATGTGTCTGTGTTTGTGTGTGTGCGTTTGCGTGCGTGTGTGTGTGTGTGTGGGTCTGTGTGTGGGTGTGCGCGTAAAGCAAAAGGTCCAAGGCAGTGGCCAAGCTCAGGTACCGGCGTAGGATTTGGTGTTTAAGCTTTTAGGTCTTGAGGTTTGTAATTATGGTTCAAGGTCCAGTTTCAGGTTTAAGGCATAGGATTTTGTTGTTCAGTTTACGGTGGAGGGGTCGGGCTTTTGGGTTTGCAACCGGCGCCAGTGCATCTCATGTGCCAGGAAGAAAATCACCGAATCCACTTTGACAAGTTCACACACACACACACACCAGAGCATTATGAAGGCTTTGGTTCAAGTTGTGGATTGGGAGTTTCTGGTTTAGGAGTTAAGAGGGAAGGATGAAACGGTATAGTGGTTCGAGCAATCAGTATTCGCATCCCCGCATAGCCCCCCACATAGGATTATATTGCAGTACACAGCATACTCCGAAACCCCGCTAGTGTTGCCAGATGTCGATGCCCGCGCATGGCCTCATGATGAAGCGCCATCTGCAATGCTTACAACGGCCACAAGCCAAGAAGCGTACCAATGGGCTTAGGTTGTGGCTTAGGTTTCAAGCGCACGAAACCCAAGCCTAGGTCCTTATAATTGAGCCCCGACGGAGTTTTGGAAAACAAAGGTGGAGCATCATACAACCCTCAGCACCCAGAGATGCCTTCAAACACCTCAATGCCCAAAAAGCCAAAGCCTTTTCTCTTCTCGCTCCCACTGTCTCTCTCTGCCTGCTCTCTTTCTCTTACACAAAGCTTTCCCAGAAGAGGCGAAAGGCACCAACAACCGCGGTCGCGTGGTTGCGGCCTGGTTCGGCCCCTTCCGCGAAGTCTCGCGGAGTCGGTCTCCCAGATTTCTTGCGTTGCTTGAGGCGCCTTAGGGATTCAACAGCCCTAAACGCTAACCCTACTACTATTTTCTTTTGAGCCGGAAGTCGCTTTGAAGCAGGATCGGAGTTGGGGTTTCGGGTTGAAGGTTGTGTTTCGGTCGGGTATTCTCCATCTCCTTGAGGTTTGAAGTGCTTGGTGTTGCTATGGCTGGGGTGGAGATGAAAGTTTTATGGTTTAGGATGTCGGTCTGGTGGCTGTAGGGTTTCAAGGGACCTATGCTCGTTGCCTCACTTTCCGTCAGGGCTGGGCGTCCTGCAGCGGGGATACTGACACAATTCTGTAAATATGCACGGGCTTTCAGGGATTCAGTGCAGTTCTAACTTGGGTCTCCCTCTTTTGTGTTGAGAGCAAGAGGGGGCCACAAACCACTCAAGCCGAGACCCTACCCAATCCTAACAGACCCCAACCCTCAATTCCGGTTGTACAGTTCAGCTCGAGCACAGCACACGAATATAAAAGCCCTGAGGGTTCCTTATTGTAAATCACCTACTATAGGGGCCTAAGAATAGCAGAGACTATGTTGGCGGTTCCTTGTTATAGCCATAGTATAAAGGGCTCCAAAACCCTATTCCAATTATTAAGGCCCCCATATTAGCCAAAATCCTGTGGTTCCTGGAGCCCTGACGCGACCATCCCGAAGACTGAAATCCTGCATGCCCAAACCACTAGACCACAGAGCCACAAACCCTGGACCCTAAATTCTACGGAACGTTGCATCCTGGCGGTGTGGATTTTCGAGTTCGTAATTTTCTACACTTACGGAAACCATTCGAGAAACCAGTATCTTGACAAAAAGCTAGACATCAGGTTCCGTGAAGGAGGCGCGCCAACCTTGCGCGGGCCGGTTGTTTCCTCTTCGGGGGAAGTTTCCGGGCGCCGGGCCTTCCGATTTCAACTGGGTATCGGTTGGGGGTTTTCGAGTTTCACCAGGGATTCAGGGCAATGGTTGGGTTTTCGAGTGTCAAGGCTCATCATTCGGTTTCGGGAGGCTCGATATCCTCTGTATGATCGTCTGGAACACCGAACAACGTTTTGGACAAGCAGCCTTCCTTGTGGCATCAAGTTGGGTCATAGGGATCTTTCATAGTCATAGAACTTGATGATATTCACCGCGCCCGCTAACACAAGATGCCTGTCTCTCTCTCTCGCTCTCTCTCTCTCCCGGCCTCTCTCTCACACAATGAACGTGTTATGCGTGCCCGTTGAGAATTCCTTGGCCCGCGATGCAGCGATGCATGGCGACGCATGCTGCTACACATGAGTTTTGTTGGGCGCACGCACCACCATCTGGGCCGCTCCCGGCATACACACAAACGCGCAAGCCCACATGATGAAGTGAAAGAAGAGTCGAACAGAGCAGGCATTTTCTCAGGGTCTAGGGTTTAGCTCGTATCTCGTGGCACACAAATGCGTTAAGGTGCCCTCGACCTTTGTCGCCCTCCATGCAATGGCTCCTGTGAAGACGTTTAATCTGAGTTGCCACCGTTTATGGGGCTATACCGTAAATGGCCTTTCGTTATCACGGCAATGTAAATTCAGTTTTGTTGGAGGCCATCAATCCTTGAACATCCTAAACCCGAAAGCCTGAAGCCCTGGAGAACCCGAAGCTTGGCGTTCAACCGTGACTTCGTGTCGTCGAGGTGCTACTTTCGGATGTGTTTAATCATGCGGCCTTGCAGGTTTTGCGGCGGCCAAGTCCTCAACCCTAAAGAATAGTTTTGAATTTAGGGTTGAGAGTTGAGAGTGTAGGGGTTTTGAGTTAGGTGCAGTTGGGCGTTTGGGAGAGTGGAAAGTTCGGCTTTGGTTTCCTCTAGGCTGTTGGAGGTTCTCGGCGCGGCCCAGACCCGCGACATGTTCCATGTCCCGTGGCAGCGGAAGCAGTGATCGTCGCCGTTGGAATTACTCAAACAATCCTTTACGCCCTTTTCCATCATGTAGTCCATGTAGACCATGCAACCCTTGATCCCCAATCTGCTCGCCTGTGCACACCCTACTTGCTGCCTGCCCCTAAACCTTTAGCCGGCGCAACCGTAAATCCCAATCTGCACAGGACCAGGTGCAAAACTACAACGGCTTTAAGAAGAGGCCGTTGTCGGTACATCATCGGGATGGCAAGTTCGAGGTTTGTTTTAAGGCGGCTTAGGGTTCAGGGTATTGGGATTAGGACGTAGGGTTTAGGCATTGGGCCGGCTGGTTTCACGGTTGAGGCCTGTTGGCTTTAAAGCTTTTCCCTGCAAGCTGCAAACCCTGAGGTCCCAGGCCGAAGGTGTCCTGTCTAGATGGCCCGGTTTGATTCAAGTTTGGTGGCATTTCTGTGTCTTGACGGTTCAGCAAGATTAAACATGAAGTATACTGCTACATCTGTTTCGAGGTTTTAGGGCATTGTTAGGGCATTGTGGGGTGTAGGATGGGAGCAATACGATGCCCTAATCTTAGATATTTGGCGGAAATGTAAAGCCTGAAGCGCCAAGCATTCCCCGAGTCTTAAACTGACAACGGAAGCCCTAAACCGACCCTCGTCAGTGCCAGATCATGTCCAAGTCACAAAGCTTAAGACCCAAACCCTTGAGATTTAGGTCCAAGGTCTTGAAATGGGAACAGTATAGGCAGTGTACAGGTCTGAATCGCCTTGCGGTGTTATCGTCCCCACACAATTTCGCCGCCTATACTCGGGCTTTTAGGGTTCAGGTTTGAGAGTTCTTGGGCCGGAGGCTTCCTTTCTAAAGCTCCAGACTCAGGGCTTGACCGTTCTATAGAGCAAGGGCCGCCAGGCTTTGGGTTTAGGGCTTGTAGGGATTAGGGCTTAGTTCCTAGGGTTTAGTGTTTGGGGTTTGGGAGGAGGGATCCTAAAACAGTTTCAGGTTCTTTCTCATTACAGTAAGGTTCTTTGGCTAGGTTCAGGGCCCCCCTCTTCGAGATACTGTAGGCTTCAAGAAACCATGATGTCAACTTCTGAGCCCTAACCCTGGCCCTAAACCCCGTAAGACCTCGAGTTCGAAACTCTACACACTAGAACCCCAAACCTGAACAACTAAGTCATACAACTTAGGGTTGAGTCCTTGGGCCTTCAATCCTTGCACAGGCTCCACTGCCTGTCGCACTCTCAGCGGGGATTTAGGCGGTTTAGGCAGACTTGTCGAGACCTCAATGTCAGCGCGTATTTTGCACAGGGCCGTTGTTTCTCTACGGGGAAAGCTTACCCTAAGTTCCGAACTGTAAACCCTTAAGGCTTAGACTTTAACAGCTTAGACCCGAACAGAGTTTTATACCCATTGTTGTAAACTGTCAAACGAATAGTCGGATCGTTACTCGATCTATTTCTGAGACGTAGGGAAACCCAAGTTCCACTTATCTTGAATTGAAGACTACAAGCCCTAAGCTCGAAACCCTGAGGGCGGGGGCGGTGCCAGTGGATGATGGGTTTGGGGTTCGAAGATGGGACATAGAAGCCTGAACCAAAAGGGGCCAACACAAGTGAGTCATAAGGGTTCTATAGGGGTTCGAGTTTGAATAATTACGAACATTATTCTTCCGGGGTCCTCGGCGTTCAGATTACAACACTGCTCTAATCATGACTGCAAGGCCCGGATATTGCTGTTGAGGGTGTCGGTTTAATGTAGACCACTGATTAACAAACACCCTGCTGTAATCAGGGTTTTAGTATTCAAGGTAATGTTAGAGCCCGTACAGACAGGTGATTCAGACGTCTACGTCTACTATAACCCTCAAAATTTACAACACAACGCTTGAACCTGAAAAACCGACACCCCGAAACTATGTTCGAAATTTTACAGCCGGGCTAATTAGGTTCAGAGGTCTCGGGCTAAGTCGTCATCATGCGGCGGTCTTGCAGGGTGTATCGGCTTTGAGATTTTGGAGTTGTGAAGTCCTGCGTCACGCCTACACTCAACACCTAAATGCCGCAAAAGTGGGGAGCACTACTGCCCATACTAATAAAGCCGAAGTACCCTAGGTCCCAAACCTTGCTTTCTACGTCCCCTGATCCTCAACCCTCCAGCCCTTCAGCCAACCCAAAATCCCCCTATTCAGCCCTTACCGGGCCGGTAATGGTCCTTGAAGGAACCCTAAGCTTTGAGGCCCTTCAGCTACTTTCTGTACCGGTTCCGCAAGCTTTACATCGAAGGTGCGGACGTCCGGGCTCGGGAGGGCCTAGAGATTCCGTCCAGGGTGCCTATCAAGGGCTGCTACAAGGGCTTATGCGCGCAAGCCAGCCGAGCATTTCTGTGGTGCTTTGTGGTCGTAAAGGAGAAATCGTCGGATTCAGCCCTCCCCCTTTTGGAATGCAAACCCTGCACCTTAAACATCCTCAAACCCTAAATCAACCTCATCTCAAACTTAGATCCTAAATCAAACCCCACCTAAAGCCCTCAACCCCAAACCTTAGTCGCCTTAGCCCTAAACTTTCAACCGCAACTCCGTAACCTTGAACACACAAACCTAAACCTGAAAGGCAATCCCTGACCCTCAACCCCAAGCCCAATGCCTTCCTGGGTTTCCAGGCGGTGTCATTGCGCGTGAGTATTTCCGACTGCAGGAGGCTGCAGCTCACCCATTTAGGCAAGGGTTCAGGTTCAAGATTTTAATTTGATTTGAGGGTGTAGGTTTTCAGGATTTCAGCCTTACGGTTTCGGTTTGAGTTTCAGTTCTAGGATGTAGACCCAAAACGCAAAGCCCACAAGCCGTAAGCCAGAGGCCCTGACAAAACTCGACGTTTTCGGGTTTACCTACCAAAAAAAGCCTGCCTTTCTGGGGTTCCTTTGAGTGATTTCCTCGCAACTCTAAGTCCTCAGAACGGTAGGGTTTCGGTGGTTGATACAGGGTTTGGCTGAATCGAGGCGGTAGTGTTGAGCTTTTAGGGTTTGGCGTGTTTGAGGTTTGGGGTTAGTGCTTTTTCGGGTTCAGGGTTTAGGGTGCAGAATGTAGGGCTCAGAGTTTCGGAGGTAGGGCTCAAAGTTCAAAGTCCAGGAGAGAAAGGGGCCTGCTGATAGTAGTCAAGTGGTGGCAGTAGCAAACAAACGATCCTGAACCCTGCACCCTACTAAGCCCTAAACCCGCAACCGGGAACTCTAATATAAGTACAAGACTTGCCAACACGCCCTAAACCACTACGATACTCCCATGGCCACTAGCAAGCCAAGAGAGTGGAGCTCCATCCATCAGGCTCTCCGTCCTTTGGGATCCAGTAAGTTCAGGGGCTTAGGGTCCGATAGAGTTTGGAGTCACAGTATAGGTAATTTTAGGACGGTTGAATTTTTGAGATTTCGACCTCCATGCGCAGAACAGAAGTGTTTTGATCTATCCCAAAACGCTTATTTTCTTACACCAAGGAGAGACCTCAGGCCTTTGTCTGCGGCCTATGTTTACTATTGCAAGATGACTAATCCAGGGTTTAGGGCCGGAGTTTAGGGCTTAGGGCTCAGTTTCGGGGTTTGATTTAGCCATGTTCATTATTCAATGGCGTCCACGGTGCACGTAGTGGCCGATATTATCGTTCTGCACGAGCACCTGCCCTTCCTGGGATTGGTTTACGTTGCCAAGATGTTTATCAGCTTCGAACACTATGCTATAGCACTGGAGATGGCTGTGGTGATGACGAAGGCTACTACTATGGCTATGAGGTCGTTAAGCGTTCCTACAAATATCGTCAGCCTGACACTGACGGCGCAAGCCACGGGACGTGCATAGCTTTCTGCATGTCTCTGTGCTCCTGAGCATGGTCTGTAACATCTGTACCGCTCTGGACTGAATTGGGAGCACGTGTGTCAGGACCCAAGGTTGTGGCTCTTGGCGTAATTATACGGCATGCATATCGTTCGTCATACCTGTTTAGAGGGGCGAAAGACTGCGTTCCCTTTGAGGTTTCCACAAACCCCGCCACGAAATCCTTAAGTTCGAAACTCTTCAGAGCCAAGACTGGCCAAGACCCCAAATCCCCAAGCCTTCACGCTCGTCGACGGCGCCCGCATGCGATCTGAACCTTGAGGTCCAACCTAGATTTTTCGCGACGGTTGCACGCCTTGGTTCCTGCTCAGCGTTTGGGAGCAGCAAGGCTGCAAAGGTAATGTCGCGCGTGAGACAGCAACGTGCAAGACGCACCCCATGCGGGCATGGGTGTACCCTGCTTGAGGAAGCGCGGGAGGTTCACTGCGACGTCCTGGAACACTCTGAGCGACTCTTAACCAACGGCATCGCCTCATGATGACACTGGCGATGGTGATGACCATGATGAGGACGACAACTGTGAGTATGAAGATAGCCACCATGTCGATGATAAGTGATTGCGATTATGCTGTTATTGCTGTGGTTGACGATGTTAAAAGCTATGGCCATGAACGACTGTTCGTGATAGCCTCGGCAGGTTCAGGGTGTATAGGGTTTAAAGTTTAGGAACGAACATATAGGATATTTAGGGCCTTTGCAATGACTAGAATAGGGTTTTTGGCGGGAGATTTTTGGTAGTGTTCTACGTACTATAAGGACTAGAAAGCAACACTACTAAGTAGTACTGGATCGTAATTCCTCCGACGTTACATTATGTTCTGCAGGGTCTAGGTTCGTGGGTGCTGCGTTATAAACTCGGTGCTGCGCTTGTGTTTCAGGTTCTTCACGTTCTTGGCTAAGGGTATAGCGGTATAGCGTTCTGAGTTTAAGGCTTAGGGTTTCCACATCATAGGTTTGTGGTTGTTGGAGCCAGCGCGTCGGGCCTGGTGTAGATAGAGTTTGACAACTACAGTTTACCGGGTTTGGGCTGGATTTGTCGGCCGTTCATGGAGCACCCCATTTGCCCAGACCCTGGAACCCAACAGCTATGTGAGCTCGCCGCTTTAGGGCCACGGCCAAAGCTGAGCCCTGCGGAACCACGATCAACCACATCTCTTTTCGCTCCGCACAGGGCAAAGAATGACACGAGCAGCTGTCTGCAGGCATCCTCACAGTGCTGGGAACCCCCAGCCAACCGCTAACAATTCCAAAGAAATTGCATTCAAGGCGCGACTATTGATTCTCAGGTCTCTGTTGGTGCCGCCGATTGCGCCAACGTTGCGCTCGGGCCCTGAATGCCCCGAAGAGCACACAGGACACACTTGGTCGGACATTCCAGAAGGGCAAAGAATGCTTCCAGACGTTTTGATCTTTCCTACCCGAGGTCTCATCCAGAAGCTTCTAAAACGGGAGCCACATCTTCGACCGAGTCCTGAAACTCAGCAAATTTGCAGTCTTGTTTGTTGAATTGCTTCGGAACACAGAGTGGCACCAGGTGCTTGCAGCCTCATGTCGGATGAGGTGTACAAGCCGCTGAGCAGGGGTCCAAAGCATTCAAGTATACGTCTTGGATTGGGTGTTGTTTCTTGTTGCCTTGTTCAGGTTTTCAGCGGCTGCTCAGACGGGGGTACGCATCTCCATTGCGGCAGTAAGCCAAAAGAGCCTTTGTGCGTCCGAGTCTGGTTTGGGAGGCTCGCTTGCGTTGTCAAGCCGTGTAGCAATTGTTTGCAAGCTGTCGCGCTGTGCAGACGGTAGCTTTGGGGTCGGACCTTGGCATGGGTGCGGGCTGCTGCCTAAGAACCGGAAGACACATTCAGCATGAACAGCAGCGCAAAAAGCCAGGCTTCTTTCTTTCCACTGTTTCTTCCAGCATGTGTTGGGGCTATTGTCTCAGTTTGCAGTGTAGGGGCAAGCAATTCTGGACATCACGCGGCAAGCAAAAACACCTTTTTACGTTTCAGCTTTGCAGTCGGCCGTGCTGACGATCCCAGCACGGGTAACAGAGTGTTGCTGGAAATTGGAAAGCTTGCATGACAATGAGCTATGGACAGGTGGACTGCAGCCTAAAACAAAAACCGTGCAGCAAGAGGTGGTGAAAAACAATCACAGGAGTTTGAATTTCCGGACAGATGACTGCGGGAACAAGTAACAAAACACAGGGTTGCAAGGTCTCGGTCATTTCGTGTCGTCGGGTTTACTCTGGTTGCGATTGTAGATGTCAGCATTGCGGGTGCTGAAGCCTTCCCCACGCTACGGTGGGGTTCCTGGTTTGGTGCCTTTTTCCAGGCCTCCGCAGCGCTCAATTTCGTTACGGGTCCGAACACTTGCCGAGCCATGTCCCCAAAGAAGAGCGCCACTGTTGCCTCCTATGGTAAACCACTGCGGAACAGACTCTGTATGCACAGATGTTCTGCCCAAATCGTACCAGGCCGCACGGGCTTTAGACTTTGCTCGTGTCACAAGCGCACCTTGGCTCAAAAATCCGGGTGCCTTGCACCATACTCCCAGCCCAGACCACTTTCGCCCCAAATTCAAGCTCTCGCCTATTCTTAGCCATGCTTTTCCAAGGACATGCATATCTGTTGCCACTGTGTTGTAAATTTGTGTTCACGTGCCCGGTCTTCAGGACTACGCTTTTGCATCGTCACCTTTGTGCTGCTGCTACTGGGTGCTGTGGGGAACTCAGGGGCAGGTTCTTTACACCCAGGGACTAGAACCAGCCCTCACTACCAGAAGATGTTCACCATTTGGGCACCCCATGCGTGCTTCTCAGATCCGGTGGAGGCCGGCTGAGCCCACTTGAGATGAGGAGCAGCAAGTCATTCCACAGTGCTCACACTTGTCATCGAAACTGACGGGCACAAGGTTAGTGGTCGCATTAACAAATCCCCGGAGCTCCGAAGGTAAAGACCCAAGAGGCCTGAAAAACTGATGCACCGGCGGTATAAAACTATCAGCTGAGATATGCAAGCCAGGGTTGCACGCTTGGGGTTCGCAGCTCCAGGAATCATTCATGCTTTGGTCACGGAGGCTCCTGATCACGATGATGGCACGCCAGTGGCCGCGGCCTGATAAACTGACGCAGCCGGGTATAGAACTACTGGTATCTGTTGAGATATGCGAGCCAGGGTTGCGCGCTTGGGGTTCACAGCGCCAGGAACTCTTTGACTTGCATTCATGCTTTGGTCACGGAGGCTCCTGATGACTATGATGTCGCGCCAGTGGGCGCGGCCTGATAAACTGACGCAACAGCCGGGTATAGAACTACTTGTATCAGTTGCTCCAGGAACTCTTTGATTTGCATTCATGCTTTGGTCACGGAAGCTCCTGATCACGATGATGGCACGCCAGTGGCCGCGGCCTGATAAACTGACGCAGCCGGGTATAGAACTACTGGTATCTGTTGAGATATGCGAGCCAGGGTTGCGCGCTTGGGGTTCACAGCGCCAGGAACTCTTTGACTTGCATTCATGCTTTGGTCACGGAGGCTCCTGATGACTATGATGTCACGCCAGTGGCCGCGGCCTGATAAACTGACGCAACAGCCGGGTATAGAACTACTGGTATCAGTTGCTCCAGGAACTCTTTGATTTGCATTCATGCTTTGGTCACGGAGGCTCCTGATCACGATGATGGCACGGCAGTGGCCGCGGCCTGATAAACTGACGCAACAGGGAAGTCACGTTTGCACGTCTGGGGTTCATACCCCCCAGGAAACACTTTGTTTTCATGCCGTGGTCACAGAGGCCGATGATCACGCCGATGGCAACGCAGTGG